TGAAATTATCGCCAGGATGACGCGAGACGCACGACCCTCAGAGTGTAGCGCAGCTCACCACCAGAGATTGCATGAATGTAGGATAATTACCCTTGAAATTTCTTGAGAATCAGTTTTTTTTCATCGTTGTTTCCGATGAATATTGCAATTTTGCATGGAATACCCCATTTTCCGACATGCCCACCAGGGTAGATGATCACAATTATTTGTTTGGACCACGAAGTGATGTTTTCTTTCAAGCCGTTCTGCAGCATACCCTTTATCAACAGGGGCTGTAATTTATTTCTGCATGTTGCCATCATTACAGTTTTATATATGGCCTCCGAATATATCTGATCATCACCATTCATACGCGGATCGTCAATGGCATGTTACCTTCTGCAAAAAGCTATTGAAAATGGCCCAGTCGAAATAGTTGATTTACCCATTGAAAATGGTGATTTTCCATAGCTATGTAAAGGTTTACCAGAGGGTACATGTTGCCAGTTTGGCTATCGCTTGCGATCTCAGCTGCACTTGCCAGTGTGCCTTTTATCATCTCAGATTCGGGTCATGGCCGGAAGGTGGCATCAGCACAAGCCAAGCATGGCTTGAGCTGACTGAATTCAGGATCAATGGTGATTGTAACGGGATTTCCCTTGAGCCTGGCCATGGCTCAAAAATGTGCGCTACGAAGCGCAGTTCTAGACCTAACCTGGATCGGTGACTAACCTGGGATTCCTGACAAGTATGTTTTTTGTGACACCTTGGATGAGGTCATTTATGGACATAAATGGACATTGCTTGCCCATTCCTTAAGGAAGTTGAAACAGTTGTTGGGACCAATCCATATGCCACGGTCCAGAACAATCCCATCCCCCATTCAATCCTTAAACATCATCCAGAAACCAAGGTGAAATGTAGGAGATTTTCACACACCCTTCTAGGACCATGGAATGGGCGTGTTTAAAAGGAACGGAGGATGGATGGTTTTTTGTTTATTTGAAAACTAGCTATAGATATACCTAACGTGAACCCTACAGTTGTAGCCCAATACTAGCCCAATACCAATCTTAAAAAAAATAAATGGGGGTATCATTCCATAAATGGTGATAACTGGTAAATATCTACCAGAAACCCTCAGAATTAATACGGTTGTTGTTCACCACTGAGCTATGCCTTGCTGGACCCAGGGACCTCACTACTGAGCGCTTTGCGCTGTGGTGAGGCGGGTTTCTTTGTGATGAAACAGTTCGACATGGAAAGAAACAGTGGAAACTTCACAGTACCTGCGCCATTTTCAGACAATCCCTTAAAAAACATGAAGTTTGAAGTTGTCACCAGGCGCAGGTAGGCTCGCAACAGGCATCTCAATCGTACCTCGCTGCGTAGGCTCTCAGCGTTTGCTACCACCTCCAGCCAGACGATTTGGCCAGTCTGTTTTGCGCGAAGCCAAGATGAATGCTTGCCGCATCCTGAAGAAGTGGCCCTAGTGGCCCTAGTGGCCCTAAGAAAACATGGAAAGCCATGAAATGTTCGTAGAACTAAGTATAAATATAATTATCATTAATTATCATTATAATGACCACATTAATTCTCATTATAATCATTTAATATCGAGATTTCATGGGTTGTATAACGAAATCTCTCCTTAAGTTGGGGGGTCAAAACTTTGGTGGCACGGATGGTGTTGACTATAACTCGCCACAGCTCACAATGGTGTTGAGGTGTGGCCAAATGGTGTTCATGCAGTCACCGTGCAAAGTTGTGGTGCTCGTGCCCCCTTGGAATCAGCCCCGAACCCCGGGAGTCACAAACTATATACGTTGGACGTACCGTGCTCAACGTAGTTGATTGTGAAGATGTGGGTATGGGTCAATACCTATAGATACATTTTTAGTGGGATGAACATCCATTTACCAGCTATTTTTATGTTCACTAGGTACCAGGGTTTTGACCCATCCCCATTTCAGGCAAAATGTTGGCACTCCATGATTTTGTTTTGTATCAGTTCAGGTATACCCAAACCGATCCTTAGATCTGTCTGGTCGTTTGTGCATAAATCGTTGATATGTTGACCCCCTTTGCCTGAAAAATTCGACTCTCTGGAAATCGTTGATGGCTGTGGTACCTGAACACCAAAAGATCTCAAAGATGATTTAAGCCGCAATTTCTGGCGTCATGAGGAAAATGGTGATTACCCAATGGATGAAATGAGGTTTCCCAACATTTTCAGGTTCCAAACTCCAAACCCAGCCTTCAGGATATATCAGGTCCTGCCATGTCCTGCCATGTTTTGAAGATACCACAAGAGCCTTCAGACACGGGGAATCCACAACCGTTTTGCATCACAGGTACTACGTACTTCGCTGGGGTGCAGATGGCACTGGTGCTAAGACGCAGGTGGGACGCAGCGTGATGGATCTTGGGGCTTCAGCTTAGGAATCTGTAGCTACCCTCTGGTAAACTGCTACATAACCATGAAAATTCACCATTTTCGATGGGTAAATCAAGTATAAATGGCCATGTTCAATAGCTATGCTAATTTACCAGAGACTATCTCTAGGTATTTTCAGCTATCTTGGCCAAGCATTTGGATTTGAAGATGGTTGTTTTCTGATTGCCATGTTTGGTGTCCAGGTCTGTATAGGTCTGTACTACATACTGACCTTGCTGGGCACTTTTAGATAAAGTCTGCAAAATGTATGTTGATCTGCAAATTTGGGGTTACAACACCCATTTGGTTAATGGTTTCGAACACGATAATTATTTCCACTAGTGCTCCCAATTTATGATAAATATTGGGTTGGTGGCTCTAAACACCATCATGACGAGCAAATCACGAAATTATGGAATTGTTTGGTTGACTTATAGTTATCGTGATATTGGTATTAACCAGTTTAGGAAAGAATCGCAAAAAAAACACCATAACCAAAAACGGTTTGGTGTTATTCCCTCTTCACCAGCAGTTGATGACAGCGAAGATTCCTGCAGATTTCTGCCCTTTGAAAAAGGTGCGACCCTTGCGGTCATGGATCGATGATACACCGGCACCCTGGTGCGCCCGGACATGTTGAGTGGATGCTAATCCCCGGTTATTAGTGTGGGGATATTATACCAACCAAAACATCAATAACAATAATAATCGGGAATTCATCACAATCCATGAGGCGAAAGCCTATATCAACTAACCAGCATGAAGGGTTTGAACACTGCTCATTTGGGAATGCTAAGACTAAACTCAACTCAAATGCTGGGTAATATCCCTGGACATCCCTGAAACCTAGTGGTAAACTCTAAACCCTAGACCATGTTTTTAGATTGCTCCATGTTTGGGAAAGTTTTTAAAAGGTAATACATGGTAATACCAAAAGGTACAACCCCATAGCTATCCTTATTGGGAACAAGTAACAAGACTGAATAATATGAGTAAATGTTTGAATCGTATGGGGGTTGGACATGGACCCAGTAATAATAAGTATCATTTTGCTGTGGTTTATAAAGAATTAGCATTGATCGTCATCATTTTGCCTACCCTTTCCATTCTTAGCACAACTGGAACAACGTTCAGCGCAGGAATGTCGTAAAGCCAAAACCATCTTGACAACCCCCAATTCACCCGTTTTACAGTTTAAAGTTCTAAAGAAGGGTTCATTCTTGGGTTTACCACAGTAGACCTCATGATAGGACCCTTTCTTCAAGGATGTTCAAGTTCAAGGTGTGTAAGGATTTGTAAAGACACCCAAATGGTAGAATCCAGGTTGTGGTTTATAGTTGGGGTTACCATGTTATATTCTGCTAGACTGCTAGACGCTGATACTATGCTGCAGGCCATCCACGCCAGACCACTGGGAGAAAGGGGAAAGCAGGATTGAAGATTGGATATGATACAAAGCATATTTTATAATCCTACAAAACATACTTAGACTTTGGTGTGTAAAGCCATACAGTAACACATGCAATTCAATCGGAGGTGGTATCATAGTTGACTGCTAAAGGAGTTATGCAAACACTTTCGGTGAGTCACCTGGTGGTCAAAGCTCAAGATCTACCCTTTGGTTATTTGTTACATAGCCCTCATAATTTACATGGCCCATTAAAAAATCATTATCAAAATTATGATTTACCATGATTTGCCTATATCATGATCTAAAAATTGGTGGGTTTCCCAAATAAAATTGTTAAACAACCAGAGGGAACACCTAACAAATTGCTGATCCATCCCCCTCTCAGATGGGAAGGATATCGACATCTCGTCAAGTTTGAATTTCCCTTGGGAAATACTGTGTTTTGTTTGTCATTTGAGCTTAAACTTTAGGGTTTTTTGTGGGTTTAAGGCTTTAGGCTCAGAGTTTTTGGGGCCTTTAGGGCCTAGCATGATGACTGATGGGCAAACCAGGGGGTTGCATCCAGGGAACATAGTTTGAACATCTAATTGTCGCGGTTCAAGAATTATATTGGGGTTTCTTAAAATGGTGGGTCCCCAAAACCTTAGGTTTGAATACTAAAATGGTCTAGTTTTGGATGATTTGGGGGTACACCCATTTTAGGACACCTCCATATAGTCCCCACTTTGGTGGATCATCATCTCAAAAGACAGGCCGCTAGTCGTGGGCTTTTGCAGTCCACAATCAGCGTTGGATCACTTGTTTTGGCCGCACCCTTTGGTGGTGGGGGATGTGCTGCCATATTGCTGAAATATGATCGATATCAAAAGTCTGTCAAAACATTGTGGGTTCCATTCCACCATGATTCTTCCAGTAGTTTGCCTTTAAAGAATTGGATCGCCCCTTTTTGTTATTCTTCCAGACCCACTACAGCTGTAGCATCCAGTCATGTCAAATAACTTGGAACCTCCAAAGATAAATGTACAGATCGAACATGTTTAATGCCATTCAAAAAAAACAGAATTTCACAACAGTCTGCAGCTTGGCAGATTACAGAGAAATTCGACTCATAGATATTTTTCGCTTGGAGGATTAATCCAGAATCGACGGAAATATGTTTGCCCATGTGTCTGGATGTCACGTCGTGACCGAAAACTGGTATGTCGTGACCTCACCAAGGTATGATGGTTTACTGACCGAATCATCCAGCTGAGTGACCAATTTTATTTCCCTATAGTGAATGATAGAAAAATTCGGCCAGATGTGAATGACAAGGGAAATTTTAGGGTCTACTTATGTTCTCACTGTGTTTCGACCGAGGTTCGTGCCTGTCATACGGAGTACCCTTCTGGTGGCGTCCTCGGTTTTGTTTCCCACCATGATTGTCAGGGATATATTAATAACATGATTTAACCATATTTAACCAATGAGCCATGTTTTTGCACGGGGATATGATGGTGATTTACTGTAACTGTAAATGGCTACACGGCTACATAATGCGGTATTTAACGTGTACTATATATAACATTCTATAAATACCAAATATCAAATATATCCAACTTTTGTTCTCGATTTGTCTCTGAAAATGACCATTAGATGATGGAATAACACGGACATAACCTCAGATATAGAACTCTATTTGTATCCTCACCCAAAGATTTTGAAACAACAACGCCGGAAAACCGCGAACATCATCGCCCCATCAGCTGGTGTTGGGGGCTACATGGGGTTAGTAACTACGGGCTTGATCCTGGAGCTTTGTCGCATGTCCCGAGGGTGGAAGAGGAATCCGCACAGCTGTAAAGCCTCCATACATTTGCTATTTGAATTACCCTCTGGTGAACTAACATAGCAATGGAAAATCCCAATTTTTAATGGGAAAATCCACTATAAATGGCCATTTTCCATTGCTATGTTAGTTCACCAGAGGGTAAATAATCCCTTCCTCCTAATACTCAACGTCCCCCCTCACCCATCCCCCCCTAATAATAAACACGGCAGGTAGGGCTTTAGATGTTTTTAGTATTAGGGGGGTATTTATTAGTAGGGAACCCTATTAATAAAATTTAAACCCTTAATAATAAAAACTATGTTTTCCGATCTCAAAATCAATTAAATTTCTTTATATAACGCAATGAAAATATTGCCAAAAATTGGATTTCGAAGCTTCCCCCTAATATTAAATAATAATAAAAACTATTTTTTCCGATCTCAAAATCAAATAAATTTCTTTATATAACGCAATTAAAATATTGCCAAAAATTGGATTTCGAAGCTTCCCCCTAATATTAAATTAAAACCCTTAATAATAAAAACTATTTTTCCCGATCTCAAAATCAAGTAAACTTCTTTATATAACGCGATTAAAATATTGCCAAAAATTGGATTTCGAAGCTTCCCCCTAATACTAAACTAAAAACCTTATAAACAACTAAAAAAATCGGACGGACCCTAATAATAAACACCCCGGGGTGAACTAGTTTTTTAGTATTAGGGGGGAAAACCAACAAATGATAGCTTTATTTTTAAATTGTTTCCTAAAGGGGATCAATTAAAAGTCAAATTGGCCAATCTGAAATTTTCCAAAATTGGAGATGGACACTAGTTTTTAGTATTTGGGCGGGGTTTAGTAATAGGAGGAAGGGATTATAATTAATCTACTTCATTTCACTTCTACAAATGGATATGAACATGGTAACATGGTGGATGATGTGGATACTCCTTTATCAGGTTAGATTTTACTGCCGGGTGTGAATTCCTCGTTGATTTTTTGCTGTTGAAATAAAAAAAACATCCCCATATATTCCCTCCATATAGGTGACCCTGCAGTAGCGGCTAGCGTATATGTGGGAAATCATCTATCTGTAGATCATAGAGAAGCATGGTATTTCAACATCTATGTTATCAATGGGAATTTCAGGATCCTAAAATGGAGGTACTCTACCATATAAGGCCATATTTTGCTGCGGTATTCCCTTACATAGGCCTTACATAGGCCTTATATATGGTAGGTACCTCCAATTTAGGTCCCTGAGTCATGGCCATTGATGTTAGTTTACCCTACGGCAATTAGATTTTTCGTCAGCCTGTTGGTGAAATCACCGGTCCCGCTGAGGTCAAAAAGCAGAAACATCGACCACCACCCTCACCGCGGCTTGTGTGGCAGGTACACGGATGGGCCCAGCTAGTCCCGGATTTGTTCATGGTGATAAAAAGGAACAAAAAAAATAACGAAAACTTGTTGCGTGAGTAGGGTTGATGAGGAATTAAGACAGTTGAATGAAGTTCTACAATGTTCTACAGTTGTTTTGCTATACTATAGATATAGTATATATATATATATATACACTGTATATATACGTAGGTATTATCGGAGCTGCCAAGGCTTGCGGTTGCCACAACATACATGAAACCAAAACAAACTCCATTTCCGATGTCTAAAAAGTAGATGTCCCTTTTTGGGGGGGTTCCATCCTTGCTTTGAGGACCCGGTCGGACCCAGCGCCTTCCACCCTGGCAGGTGGCTAGCCGTGTGCGTGCCACGCCCATGGGGAGCGAACGTGTTTGCCGCTGCTTCGTTTGCGATTCCCTGGAGGCACGGTCTGAATAGTGTGTTGTGGGGGACCATCCTCCAGGCCCTGGCCAAATACCCTCTGGTAAACTAACATAACTTTGGAAAATCACCATTTTTAATGGGTAAATGCACTATAAATGGCCATTTTCAATAGCTATGTTAGTTTCCCACAGGGTAAATCATTTACTGTACAGCAACCCGAAGAAAGATTCAAAACAGTCATTTGCCATGTGAATCGACAAAATTTGACATTTCTATCTTTTGAGGGTCCTATACTCAATGAACTGGTTTGTTGAGGAAATCCGCAAGAAGGCCTAGTTTCGACACCCAAATTTGTTGGGGTGTCTTGTAAAATTTCACCAAACATATTTTGAAAAAATATGGTATACCCAAACAATTACCATATTATCATGGTGATTTTAACAGAGAAGTAATTTACAATATTATTTTCGTAGGATTGTGTTTTATCCTGTTTTGAGGTTGCTATGCCTATACCCCAACACAAACAACATCGCAACAAATTGACCACTATGAACCACTGTTCTCCACATATCGACCCAGTCACCCCATGTGAGCCACCATTTTTTTCTGACAAGGCTCTGAACATATTTCAAATACCTATAAACAAATTGCAAACGTTCATGGGAAAATTCATGATAAGCCAGTGTGACCAATTTGTAGTGATTGGACTCTGTTCATTATTTAAGAAACCATGATCTAATTTCCATGATAAACCATAAGAAACCATATATGTTGCCATGTGAATCCACAAAAAACTGCCGGAGTTTGCCGCAGCACTTCCCACCTAAACCAGGTGGCGCCCCCTGGCCCCGAGCCGCAGCACTTCCGGCGTCGCTGGACGCGGCCGTGCCTTGGGATGTTTTGTGATGTGGGAGTTGACCCGGAACAATCGGGACTTCACCAACAAAACATGAAGAAAACATGGTGATTTAACATGATTTAACTAGGGAAAATTGTGATTTATCCAGGGAAAATGGGAATTTATCCAGGGAAATTGGTGATTCATCCAGGGAAATTGGTGATTTATCTACGAAAATTGTGATTTATCCAGTGAAAATGATGATTTATCCAGGGAAGATGGTGATTGATCCAGGGAAAATTGTAATTTATCCAGTGAAAATTGTGATTTATCCAGGGAAATTGGTGATTTATCTACAAAAAAATGTGATGCATCCTTTGAAACGGAAAATGGTGATTTCTCCAAGGAAAATTGTGATTTAACGAGGGAAAATTGTGATTTATCCAGGGAAAATGATGATTTATTATGACTTATCGAATCAAGATAGTGATTTAACCTGCAAATATGGGGATCGGATGGAATCCTTTTTAGCTCCTTGAGAATTGGTCACGACTTAGTGACTTTGGCTGACAGTAGTCTTCCAAAGCCCATAGCTGGTGAAGTTTATTTTCTGGTTGGTTTGGAACATGTTATTTTTCCACATATTCTGACTCATATTTTTCAGAGGGGTGGCTCAACCACCAACCAGATTTTAGTTGGGGGAGCGGGTAACCAGATCATGTTGGTCTTTAAAGCGACAAATTCAATAATATTTGATGAGTACCTTGACCGATCAACATGTTGGGCGTTGACCAACAAAAAAGAATGTTTTTACACCAAGACGGGTAAACCCACAGTTGATATAGAAAGGTCAGTTTTATTTTTTGTGCGGGAATCTTGGAGATTCTGACGAAATGATATGTCAGATTCACTGAAACTGAAATTATACTTTTTCTTTCGGGGTTTCACATATCTCCAATCATGGGAATCATGTGAAAGTGGGATGCTTGGCTCATACGAAAAGGGATGACCGAGGATTTTTGCAACACAAATGCGTGCAGGAACGGGAGCTGAAACATTAATGATTTTAATCAAATTGATTTTACACATGCTGAAGAGAAAGAGAGAGATAGATTAATATATATATATATATATTTATATTAATATCTTGCATCAGGGGTAGTTTCTCCAAACTATATACACGATAAGGCAACAGTGGTGGGCAAAATCAATAACAAACAGGGTGTGTATTGGGGATTGAATTACTACACATGTGACATCATAGGTTGAGCATCAAGTAGGCCCTTCTGGTCAGCCTGCACTGGTCATTTTTTGCCCCTTTGATTGTGGAGAATTTCACCAGCGAACATCCACAATTCATTGACCTGTGGTGCTTAATTGTATTTGAACCTGGCAGACCTGGTTGAAAACCATGTTGTGAGACAGACGCTCACGGTCATTGGAGTCAAACCAGCTTTGAGATAGCCACATGGACTACCATTGTTTTTCATCGGTTTCAATAGTTTCAATTGCATTCCATTCCTCTTTTGTCCGACAGATTGGACAGCTTAGTGAAGTAGTCAACCTGACAATGACAAGCCATTTTTCATATCCGGATCAGTACCACCGGTTTGAAATTTGGATCGCCGTGCGTTGATCTTGACCAACAAAACATTCTCGGGTCCGCAATACCCAAAACTCCTGCTGGTTGATGGGTCTATTATGTCCTGATATACTGACTGCCTTAGTGCGAATGATTTATCCACTGGTAAACTAACATAGCTATGGAAAATCACCATTTATAGTGAGTTTTCCCATGAAAAATGGTGATTTTCCATAGCTATGTTAGTTTACCAGAGGGTATCCACTATGTTGCTTGTTTCTTGCTAGATGTCCATTTTTGGTTTAGGGATCATACTAAACCAACTAGATACTGATGGATAGTTGATGACACTGATACTACTAGTTATAATGATATATAGTAATATATAACAATTTAAATAATATATTATATGATAATGTATGATAATATATGATAATATATCACGATATGTAATAATATATAATAATATTACTAGTAATAATAATTACAATAATAAACATATAAATATATAATCATAATATATGATATATGATAATATATAATATATTTAATATATGATAATATATTATATTTGATGATATATGATAATGTACAATAATAATAATTAATACTATTTAGTAATAATTAATAATAGATAATAAAATGTAATAATTCAACAATATATTAAAAATAAATGATGATATATGATATATGGTAATATATGATAATATATCATGAAATATGATAATATATGATATGTTATAATACATAATAATATATCATACTCTATCATGATATATGATGTATTTTTAATACATAGTAATATATCATACTCTATCAAAATATTTGATAATATATGATATATGATATATAATAATATGTAATAATACTTAATGATTTATAATAATAAATAATAATATATAATAATATATAGTAATATACAATAATATTTAATACTATTTAATAATATACAATAATATTTAATACTATTTAATAATATATAATAATATACGTATAATAATATTTAATAATATATAATGATACATAATGATATGTAATCACATATAAGAATATATAATAATAATTTAAAACATAATAATAATAATAATGATAATAATAACAATCAATAACTAATAATATACAATAATATTTAATACAACATAATTATATGTAATAAATCAATAATATATAATAATATGAAATAATTTAACAATATATAATGATATTTGATAATATTTGATTATCGATAACTTATCTAATGATTCACCAGCTAGATAATGATTATATAAGTGTTAATCCATGAACCATCTTCCCAGTTCAGCAGAAACTTCATTGGACGGCCTAGGTGTCCTGGCTGCGCACGCTTTGCCCATCGCAGTTGCTTGGAGAGAAGGCTCTTGGCGCTTGATGTAGGCCGGGGACAATCGGGCATCCAAGTCCATGGTTTCATCCAGTTTAGGACATCTCCCGGCCATGGTTCAAAAACCTTTGGCCATACTATTTTTCTTTTGGATTACAATCATTTTCCATGGTTTTCCGGAGAAGACCGGGTTTTGATCATACAATCAGATTTCTTTATTTTTCGATGGCCAGAAATTTTTGGGAGGCTTGCGATTTTCAGACAGATCCAAGTATGAGACTTGAGAAATATAGAAAGGCTGCATCATTCGTGCAACTGAAACCAGACTGAGTAGATTTTGGAGAAGAAAACAGAGGGATCAAAACCGGGTGTATTGTGTACTGTATAATCTTGGTTTGGCAACAAAAATAGGTTGGGGATGGTTATGAATGTAACAAGACATGTTTCAATTGGGTTCATCTATCAGTTGATTCAATGATAGTCAATGTGATCAAGAATTCGCCGAAGTGTGGTTTCAGTCTTACATATACCGGCAATGAAACGTGGAAATTGACAACCACTATTCATGATTTTCTCATTAAACAATTCATGAATTTGGCATTTCCAGCCATGTTTGATTACCAGAAGGTATAACTCTTCAGCTCCGAAAGATTGGAAGGTGATGGGGGTCTGGGGTGGAAGTCATGGCCGTGGCTGGCATCATCGAGCTGAGGAACTTTGCAAGATCGAGTACTGAGTCACTGGAGAAACAGCAACAGAGATACCAATCCTTGTTCGCATGACATCTCCAACTACGACTCTTGCATACATTCGCTGGAAAACCAGAAACTTTTTAATCATGGCAAGCTGGATCCCAATTTTTGTTGTTGGGATGGTGATCCAAAAGCAACTGGCACATATTCTCCTGTTCGGGGGCCAGAGGTGTTGACACCACAGTTTGCATCACCGGGTTGACAACAGCCACTCTATAAGCCATGCCGGGCCAAAACCGTTTCTACATGCAGAATGGCGGAGCGGTCGATTCTTCATGCAGGTGACTTTTGGTATCGGCCGGTGGGAGATCAAGGGGTGGCATTTCATGGCCAATAATCTCATGGCTTAATAGTGGTCAGTATATAGTCGGTTAATGTTATGTAATTATATATATATATATATTTATACGTGGCTACATCATAGTGGTTGATCCTGCTTGATTTTGGCATCCCTGATGTTTGGGCAGATCAAAATGAGATCAGTCAACCTCTCAAAGAATTGAAGGGGAAAAAACATACAGAAAGCCCCATCGGTGAACGGCTCCTCATGCTTCCTAAAAACCAGAAACGCGTTTGGCGCGAATGCATTTGAAAGCAATTGAAATCTCTTCCTCTCACCTATATTATAAAAAAAATCAGTATGAATTGAATTGATTGATCGATTTTTCTGCCATTTTGATCCATAAATTGCATAAAATGATTGTTGGGTCTGCGGTCCCAGGTCCATGGCTCGATGATCATATACTTCCTAGCACTGGCTGGCGTTGCCAGCCTGGCGTCCGAGTCACAGGCCACGTACCGGCCACTGCGTGTAACGAAGTACCGGCCAGCGACCTTTCGATTTTTTGCATCCTGCAAAAGATGAAAAAGTCAAATCATGTCAAATCCTAATAAAGTAGTGGCAAACTCCTGGCAAACATTACTTGTTTCTATCTTTTTGGGTTACTATATTCATCTATATTCAATATTCTGGTAGATGTTCTAAACCTTCAATTTTTTTCGGCGTTAGACCTGCAGGCACTGTCCGAAGTAAGTTCAGCGATTTATCCACAACAGAAACATTATTAGCTCACCCTTGTTCACCATTTCTCGTTGGATCCATTTTGTTTCGGGTTTCATGGAGGATTATAGGTATATATGGTATATACCCTCCGGTAAACTAACATAGCGAACTGGAAAATCACCATCTTTAATGGGTAAATCAACTATAAATGGCCATTTTCAATAGCTTCTTGTATGTTTACCAGAGGGTAGGTGTGTTGGAAGGCAACACGGATGTTTGGTAACGGTTTACCCGGAAATCCCGGAAGGTGAAAAGCTACCTGACAGCTTTATTGGCGACCTTCATCCATAGTTCCATTGTGTTCCTGTTCCACATGTCAATGGCTTGCCTGAAGGAAACAACATGGAGAATTCATAGAAATTAAGAAGAAATCTTATATTTTGTATCACAAGAGTCATGAGATAGCAGTTTTTCCAGAATTTTCATGCAATTCTGGACTTAAAATTCTCACAGGATGGTGCCCCCCAGGTATAAGATGTTATAATTAAGTTGGTTTATAAACCATTATAAACCCCATTAATTAACTATAGTTATATCTACCATAAACCATAGAATTCAGCCACTTATAGGGCAACTGAACTCTATCTTGGGGGCCCCATCCTGCAGCAACAGGTCTGTGTTGTACCTCATCCCAGCAACGAAAACTGGACCTTGGACGGAGCCGAAGCCTGGCGTCTTATGGTTTTCTGAATGGGAACCACCTTAGAATCACTTCAGATTGGATATTCATATATATATATATATATATATTATATATATATATTTATTTATATATTATTATTGGGATTTGCCATGATTGATGTTTTTTCCTCATGTGGTATTTTGGCTGATCGGCTATATTTACTGTGCTTACCCTTTTTCATCGTTCTGCCGGCCCTGAACCACAAAAGAAGACTCACTTCAACCAGCACCGGCTGTGGCCAAAACGTGCTTCTGGGCCAATCTCAAGCCCAGGGACAAAAATGATCCTGCAAATCGGACAGATACCCTCTAGTAATTTAACGTAGCTATTGAAAATGACCATTAATAGTGGTTTTTCCCATTAAACATTGGGATTTTCAATAGCTACGTTAAATTACCAGAGGGTAAGTGTGTTTGTCTGAAACTAGGCCAAGAACACAGACAGAACCCGGCGGTGCACACAATCATTGTCAATCATTGTTCCCATTTGTGGGCAAACCCAAGTAGTTGGAGAATAAGTTCATGTACCTGTTTGGAGCCCTTCAATTCGAAATGGTCTTGTATTTCTTGATATTTTTAGTAGTATTGAGCCATCCATTTTGTGAGTTTGATACTGTAGTTTCCACATAACCCGAGGATTCTCCGGGTGGATACTCCAACTGTTCTGGAGCTATCGCCTATTATCCCATCATTAGATGATATTTCATGATATTCCCATCACATCCTGAAAAATTGAAGAAATGTCTCCATGACGTCCCCATTCTACCTCCATATTTCTGAAAATTTCAATCCCAAGACGTCCCAACATGAAAATTTATTTAATATAGGTATGGAAATATATCTAATATTATCTAATCATGGAAATACTTATAATTCTACCTCCATCAATGTTTCAAAGCCATGGTGGATTTTCCAGCTTAGCCCAAGATGCCAAGGAACTTCAGTACAAACTGCAGCGCTTCTTTGCCCAAAAGGGACCGCCCCCCTTGGAGGCGCCCATGGGGGCCCATGGGCCCATTCGGGCCTTCGGGCCTTCAGCCCTTGGGGCATGGCACGAAAATGAGTCGGTATCTGTTGAGATAGTTCCGACTCAAAAACGTTGCGAGTTGAATTCAGTCTGGAAATGCGAAGCTGGTATAAACTTCGGTATCAACAAAGAATGAGTTGAACTCTGTTGGTAGGTTCACTCTTTGAGTCGAACCTAGTTCCGAGACGCAGAATTTTCTGCCAGGAAGTCTTCATCTCCACTCAGAACTTCACTGTGGAGGTACAGGAGACCATCATGAAAGAGTGTCCAGGTCTGCTCATCAGTGCGTCACTTGACGACTCGAATGTTACATCCACTGGGGAATCAATGTCGGTACCCTCTGGTAATTTAACATAGCTATTGAAAATTGCTATTTTTAGTGGGAAAATCCACTATACATGGTCATTTTCAATAGCTATGTTAAATTACCAGAGGGTGATGTTTATTTTGGGGCGTTCCTTGAGCAAATCCAAGTATTTCAGAGATTCTCGGAGAAGAGATTCTTCACCACTTCCTCGCTTGATATAGGGATAGCACGGTAGCTGTACAATGTGGCAAATATCACTGGCACAGCTGGTTCAGCAGCTGAACATCAACCATCAGGTGAATCTTAGAATATCCCACGATCGTCACCATCACTCCATGTTGCTTGTGACACTTGGGTTTGTTTCTCACGAAAACCAGCTGACAGTGTACTAGATGAGTTCAGAATCCCGTACACGAGCGAGCAGCGCGTCTCATCTCCGATTCCCACTATCCATACAATGCGAGGCCCCCTTGGTTTATAACTCCAATAACTATGGTTTATGGTACCCAAATATAGTTACTGGGGCTTTTGTTAACCAACAAACATCACAACGGGGGGCCTTCTATCCATAGGTTCCAGGGTCATTTTACTGGAACCTCTGAAACCTTTCGACCTCAATTGATCGTTCCAGCTTTGCCCTATGTATCAATGTCCAATGTATTATAGTTCTGTGAATAGTTGTAAAATAATATATATCATATATCATATATATATAATTAATAATGTATCACATATATATATATAATAATAATAATAATCATATATATATATATGTATATATAACATGGTGTTGAACTTCTCAGTATTCATGAATTCTTGCTGCCTGTCTCTCGATTCTGGATCGATCGTTCCGAGGTTTTTGGTGTTGGCTGAGACACAGCTTCCCATCTCACCCGAGAATTCGGGGGATGCAGTGGCAAAGGCTCTTGGCTCTTGCTTCGTCATGAGGGACACGATCCGGATAATCCAAACAGATCATCAATCTGTATAGCAACCCCATGAAAAAAAAAAAAAACATCAAAAAGATCGGAAAAGTGGAATCCGATTTTCAGACAATGGTAAATCACTGTTGGGGGTGATATAATATGTGCATATATGTAATATACATACACACGATGCAGGAATTGATTGACCAGATAGGAATTATACTTTTATAAAAAGCCTGTATGGTGAATTTGGGTAATTCCTGGTCATTCTATACCTAGGTTGTGATTGAATATATATATATATACATACACAGTATGTATAATATTACATGACATGACACTACACTAGATTACTTTACATGGCATTACGTACATTTATGTAAGTTCCCCTGCCGATTCTTTCTTACAATTAAGTTATCCAAATCTTTGGCAAAAACTGCAGCACCTTTATGAACTTTGTTTATTCCCACTGGTGTGTGTGTGTTGTGAACCAACAGCTGGCTATGCAAAGGTTGGGACCCAGCATTGGTTTAAGGGGCAGTTGACAGAAACGCCCGCCGAACGCAGGCGTCAAACCTGATGGTTTCCAGTATATTTTGACAGGAAATAATGCAAGTATTGAGTGATATTCATGTTTTCTGAAAATTACTCTGGGGTGTCGTCCGTACATGTTCCTTAGCTAATTTCCCAGAGATGAACACGTTGAAAATCATGTCCCTCAAAGAGGGCTATATTTCGTCTCTTCAATAAGCGTCAGCCAAATCCACTGCGGGGCTTCAGGCGGACAGCTTGGCTCAGAGCTTGGATGAAGCGAGCTATGCAGAGCAGATGCAGATTTGGCCCATTCAGGCGACAGTGAAAGGGGAGGTGAGGTGGGTTTGTCATGGTTTGTCTCATTAAAATGGCTAGTTGATTGGGTATCTCCTATTTCCATTCAAAAGCCCGGTAAGGTCGTGGACAAAAAACCTGCTGCTCGTGCTTTGACATATTGTTTTTCCAAAAACCATACGGGATGGCGGAAATGACGAGCTAATCTTTTTTGGGGGTAAAAAACAGCAACCAGCAAGCAGCAACCAGAGTTCGAGATGATTCAACTGATTCAACCAACCAACCATTCACCAAGAATGGCGGCGCGAAGCAAATGCAGGTGGCGTGGCTTCATTGATAAATCAACCCAATCCACCCTTTCAGATGGTTGAAATGTGTTTGATCATGAAAAACTGGTTGTATAGTGAGTAATTTATATGAGTTGATCAATGAATCGTTAGGGTGAGAGCAAACAGTGTCATTGTTTTTGTTGATGCATGATCAAACATGATCATGTTCATTGATGTTTGATGCAAAGAATAAGCAACTTAGATAGTCTTAGATAATGATGAATCATGGTGAATCATCAAGCTATGATTCGCCGTTTACTGGATCAACAAACTGCACTTTGACGATCATACTTCGGTGTTGAAAAGCACCAACCAGTTCAAAGGAATTATCCACTGTGCAAGGTGGTGCACCCCTCTTATAAGTTGATTTATAAACCCTATTACGTATATTAATTAACTGTTACAGTCTATAGATCTGTAATCTGTATAATTACTCGTACCAAAAATGATACTGACCTAGTTCCAAAATGTTATAGACCAACTTAGACATCATTTGGGGGTCTCAAGTACTGTACATAGAAAAAACATGTTTTGGACACCCTTTAGAGTTCTTTTCTCAGGCTGCGTTTGAAAGCTACACCCGTGCGATGCAAGAAGTGCAGGATGCACAGAGGCAAACGGAACATCTCGAGGTGCCGGAGATTCGGACTGGAGATCAGATAGGACCTGATGATGAAAAAAGCCACCGGTGATTTGGAGATCATGGATATCTGGTTACGGTGGTGACTGGAACCATGGAACTTTATGACTTTTCAATACTTTTCATATATTGGGAATTTCATCATATTTCATCATCCCAGTTGACTCATATTTTTTTTAGAGGGGTGGGTATACCACCAACCAGATACCCTCTGGTAATTTAACAGTTTGCTATTGAACATGGCCATAGACATAGTGATTTTTCCCATTAAAAATTGGTGGATCTCTCCATATTTATGTAAACGTTTACCAGGCCGGGTATCCATCAATCATCCATTTTAACATAGGGATTTTCCACTAGCCCACTATAGTCACTATAAATCATCCACTAGATACCATGATTAACCATTATTTATCCCATTAAATCATCCCTTCATCAGAACTTCATCACCTCGGTGGTTCACCAGAGGGTAAATGTTATTTATGAGGATATATAGGGATTATTCCATATTATTCCATAATATCCCAATAATATTCCATAATATCCCATATTATACCAGAGGGTATCCCTTCATCACAGTTGGTGAAAACCAGCGACTAAAACCTGTCCCAGGTCCAGTTGGTGATTTGCCACTGCCGTGAATCCTTGGATTGGCTGGCAGGCGACCCGGAAACTGACATGACGACCTGATGGAAACTGACCCATGGCTTAAGGGATTAATAGAAAAATATATAGGTAGAACGTGCTAGAAGCCATATCCAAACATGGTTTTAGATTATTTTAGATTCAGAGTTCGGATTGCCATCTCTAAAATCATGACAAATGATGCACGTATTCTTCTTCTGTACTGCTCTTCTGGGTTCCTTTCCTTTCCAAGGGCTCACGGTAGGTGGCAGAAGTTCGAAAGTATTATGTTTGCACCATATTTCCAACTTCTAGATCGGTTAATGACCACAGTCAACCATGCAAGTTGCTTCATTTTGTCATTGAAAACACCACCATTTCAAGGGCAATGTCCATTGGCAGGAGACATATTGCAAGCATTTTCAGGCCATTTTCACATTGAGCACGCAGGAGGTGCGTAAACCGATTTCGCCACTTCACGCCACTTCACGCCACTTGAAGTGGCATGAAGTGGCATGAAGTGGCATGCTCACGGTGCGACCGCGGCTTGAAGTGGCATGAAGTGGCATGCTCACGGTGCGACACGCCACTTGAAGTGGCATGAAGTGGCATGCTCACGGTGTGACACGCCACTTGAAGTGGCATACGCCACTCGAAGTGGCACGCCACTTGAAGTGGCATGCGCCACTTGAAGTGGCATGAAGTGGCATGCTCACGGTGGGACATTGCGACTACGACTACTGTTACGACGCTACTACTACTACTACTACTACTACTAGTACTACTACTACTACTACTTCTACTAATACGACTACAGCTACGACTACTCCTGTTACCATTACTGCTACTGCTACTGCTACTACTACTGCTACTACTACTACTACTACTACCACCAATGGCAATTTTAGATATCTCCCAGTGAGTTTTCAAGTTTCTTAGGTGACGAAGATGTTCCCCAGTGAGTTTGTGAAATTTATTGGGTGACGAGATACTGCCACCACGCTTCGTGGTGGGGAGTATCTCGTCCCCCACGATGCCGCAGAGGAAATAGCGATCATTTGTTTTCCAGAACAACCATGGTTCCTGATTCGCAACAGGCTGACACATCGGCAGCAAATTTGGACGGCCGGTGGGTAAGACAAATGTGCCAGACCACAAATAAAATACCAGTGGTACCCGCACGAAGCGAGGCGGAAGTTGCCTTAAGGATATATAAGACCTTTCTCATCTATAGAACTTGCATGCGCCGTGCGCCAGCCAGGCCCGTGCGTGCGTGCACTCTGCGAAAGTTGTGTCCTGTTTCGCACGTCACATTTGCAGCTCCACTTCGCACTTCGCACTCCTCACTGCAATCTTCACACTTCACACTTCACACTGCACTCTTCGCACTCCACACTTCACTTCACACTGCGCTCTTAAGACTGCACACTTCGCACTTCACACTTCAAACTTCACAGTCCGCACTTCACACTTCACTCTTCACACTGCACTCTTCACGCCCCACACTTCTCACTGCACTCTTCACACTTCACACTCCACACTTCATCTCATCTGAGCTCTTCTCACCTTATCCCGGCTCATGTCTTCTCATCTCATCTCTTCTCATATGTCACGCAAGCTTCCATGAATCGCTTCCCAGTACTACTCGTACTACTAAGGACCTTGCATGCGCCGTGCTCCAGCCAGGCCCGTGCGTGCGTGCTTTGTGCGAAGCTGTTGCAGTGTTGTGGCCAAGAACATAAGAACATGACCTGCGCGCGACACCGGTGCAATGCAAACAATTTCCTCAGACTTCACATTGCCTTCTTCACACCCCACACTCCACACTTCACACTTGCACTTCATCTCAACTCATCTCATCGGAGCTCTTCTCATCTCATTCCATTTCTTCCCATATGTCAGCTAAGATCTTCTTGGCTATTTTCATGTCAAGTACTTTCCAGTACTGATGTCTACTACAAAAGCTTGCAAAAACCAGTTCCCAGTACTAATCTGTACTACAAAGCTTGCACAAAACACGTTCCAGTACTACTTTGTACTACAAAGCTTGCACAAAACACTTCCCAGTACTACTTTGTACAACAAAGCTTGCATAAAACACTTCCCTGTACCACTTTGAACTACAAAGCTTGCACAAAGCAATTCCCAATACTACTTTGTACTACAAAGCTTGCACAAACTACTTCCCAGTAACCGATGTCTACTACAAAAGCTTGCAAAAACCACTTCCCAGTACTGCTTCGTACTGCAAAGCTTGCACAAAACACGGTCCAGTACGACTTTGTACTGCAAAGCTTGCACAAAGCACTCCCCAGTACTACTTTGTACTACAAAGCTTGCGCAAAGCACTCCCCAGTATTACTTTGTACTACAAAGCTTGCGCAAAGCACTTCCCAGTACTACTTTGTAATACAAAGCTTGCGCAAAGCACTTCCCAGTACTACTTTGTACTACAAAGCTTGCACAAACCACTTCCCAGTACTACTGTGCACTACAAAGCTTCCACAAACTACTTCCCAGTAACCGATGTCTACTACAAAAGCTTGCAAAAACCACTTCCCAGTACTACTTCGTACTACAAAGCTTGCACAAAGCACTCCCCAGTACTACTTTGTACTACAAAGCTTGCGCAAAGCATTCCCCAGTACTACTTTGTACTACAAAGCTTGCGCAAAGCACTTCCCAGTACTACTTTGTAATACAAAGCTTGCGCAAAGCACTTCCCAGTACTACTTTGTACTACAAAGCTTGCACAAACCACTTCCCAGTACTACTGTGCACTACAAAGCTTGCACAAACTACTTCCCAGTAACCGATGTCTACTACAAAAGCTTGCAAAAACCACTTCCAAGTACCACTTCGTACTACAAAGCTTGCACAAAGCACTCCCCAGTACTACTTCGTACTGCAAAGCTTGCACAAAGCACTTCCCAGTACTACTTCGTACTACAAAGCTTGCAGAAAACACTTTCCAGTACTACTTTGTACTACAAAGCTTGCAGAAAACACTTCACAGTACTACTTTGTACTACAGTGCTCGCACAAACCACTTCCCAGTACTACTTCGTACTACAAAGCTTGCAAAAACCACTTCCAAGTACCACTTCGTACTACAAAGCTTGCACAAAGCACTCCCCAGTACTACTTTGTACTACAAAGCTTGCACAAAGCAATTCCCAATACTACTTTGTACTACAAAGCTTGCACAAACTACTTCCCAGTAACCGATGTCTACTACAAAAGCTTGCAAAAACCACTTCCCAGTACTGCTTCGTACTGCAAAGCTTGCACAAAACACGGTCCAGTACGACTTTGTACCGCAAAGCTTGCACAAAGCACTCCCCAGTACTACTTTGTACTACAAAGCTTGCGCAAAGCACTCCCCAGTATTACTTTGTACTACAAAGCTTGCGCAAAGCACTTCCCAGTACTACTTTGTAATACAAAGCTTGCGCAAAGCACTTCCCAGTACTACTTTGTACTACAAAGCTTGCACAAACCACTTCCCAGTACTACTGTGCACTACAAAGCTTGCACAAACTACTTCCCAGTAACCGATGTCTACTACAAAAGCTTGCAAAAACCACTTCCCACTACTACTTCGTACTACAAAGCTTGCACAAAGCACTCCCCAGTACTACTTTGTACTACAAAGCTTGCGCAAAGCATTCCCCAGTACTACTTTGTACTACAAAGCTTGCACAAAGCACTCCCCAGTACTACTTTGTAATACAAAGCTTGCGCAAACTACTTCCCAGTAACCGATGTCTACTACAAAAGCTTGCAAAAACCACTTCCCAGTACTACTTCGTACTACAAAGCTTGCACAAAGCACTCCCCAGTACTACTTTGTACTACAAAGCTTGCGCAAAGCATTCCCCAGTACTACTTTGTACTACAAAGCTTGCACAAACCACTTCCCAGTACTACTGTGCACTACAAAGCTTGCACAAACTACTTCCCAGTAACCGATGTCTACTACAAAAGCTTGCAAAAACCACTTCCAAGCACCACTTCGTACTACAAAGCTTGCACAAAGCACTCCCCAGTACTACTTCGTACTGCAAAGCTTGCACAAAGCACTTCCCAGTACTACTTCGTACTACAAAGCTTGCAGAAAACACTTTCCAGTACTACTTTGTACTACAAAGCTTGCAGAAAACACTTCACAGTACTACTTTGTACTACAGTGCTCGCACAAACCACTTCCCAGTACTACTTCGTACTACAAAGCTTGCACAAAGCACTCCCCAGTACTACTTTGTACTACAAGGCTTGCAGAAAGCACGTTCCAGTACTACTTTGTACTACAAAGCTTGCAGAAAACACTTCCCAATACTACTTTGTACTACAAAGCTTGCACTTTAAGTGGCATACGCCACTCGGAACTCGAAGGCTACACAGTCAGCACGCCACTCGAAGTGGCATACGCCACTTGAAGTGGCATGAAGTGGCATGAAGTGGCAAAATCAAAATCCACCACATTTGCTCGTTCTCTGCATTTTCAGCTCCAAGCTACCCACTTTTCTCGATGACAAAAATGGACTTGTGGGATCTATGGAAGCCAAGTGAATAACCACATCCCTCAGATTACCCTCTGGTAAACATACAAAAAGCTATTGAACATGGCCCAGTCGAAATAGTGGATTTACCCATTAATAGCATGGTGGATCTTTCGATAGTTTTTATGTTTACCAGAGGGTATCCAAGACTTTCAAGAGTCCGAGATGGGATCTGAGAGGTTAAGCATGGTGAAATTTTCCAACAGGACCGCGTTTCTACATGCCAAAGACTGGAGCTGCACTGGACGTGGCTCAGGCTGAAAAAGCAAGCGTCAGGAGAGGTCAGGTCCGGCAGTCCGCCAGGCAGTCCACTGGGGAAGTGGTTTATTCCTGGGGGATTCTCACATCAAAACATGGTTTAATGATGTTTAATGCTTAGAAGGTCTTGTTTCCGGCCATGTAAAGTATGTAAAGTTGCTACTTTCCCAGAATTCCAGGGAACATGTTCAGGAAAGCCTCATATTTCTTTAGTGGTGAACATACCTTTTTCTCTGTCATTTTGTGTTTCAACAAAGCCATTGATACTTGGGAGCTTCAGCCAAGGTCTTCATCTATGAGAAATGCAACTTCGACACCGACCTATCAAAGATGTCTGGGCACTTTCGATCGGTCTCCAGAGTTCTGGTGGATGACAAGGACCAAATGATACAAGTTGGAGCTTCCTAAAAAATGGTGTGTTACCGTACCCCATAAGTTTAGCACTTTTAACCACTTTTTCCATTTTTTGGAGGGTCTTGGTAGATTAGATCTGTATGTCATGCACTAAAATAAAGCGGGTGTAGTCGTGTCCCTTTTTTTTCGAGACTGGAGCGCACTTTGCACAAGTGTAATTTCAAACTATTTCAGACTATTTCTCATTTATTTTGAAAGGCTTTGGCCAGGAGCTCTCAACTTTGCGGTAAAATGCCTTAAGTTGTGATGTAACACTTCCAGACCTTCTACACCTTCCAGCTTCACTGGAAAACTCTTCTCCCTTGTTGGTAACCCAATGCCATAAACCTATAAAAATGGCTGGGGATGCTTTATTTACGTTGATACCACCCATCAAAAATTTTGGGATTTTGGGGAAATGGCAATGGCTTTTCCACAGTGATCCACCAGGGGATGCGGCGTGACGAATGCTCCGGCTACCTCCAGCATTTGATCGACCACTACGAGGAGAGGTCCATGGCATTCCATGGCATTCCATGATTCCATGGCGGGACAGAATTTCGAGTGACTTGAAAAACCTTGAACTCAATGGATTGGTTCAAGGGATTTGTTTGACTGGTTTAAGATGTTTAAGCCCCATATTTAATGGGAAAATCTATGGTTTCCTGTAGGTTTTCCCTTAAACCAATCCACTGATGAACCTTTTCAGACAAGTTCTTGCTTCCGGAATCTGAGGAGCCAGCAGACTACACTCTCTTCTTCCAAGCGGATGCTGCTGATCATTTGCATTGGGGCTATCTATCTTTGGTCCCTTGCAGCAGAAACCAGTGCAACAGTCCAAACAATGAATGTCCCAGTAAATCCTGCTTTGTATTTGCTATAATATCATGTCCCTACCTTGGATCGTGAAATAACTTAGATCCTTAAGTGCGGCAATCTGCGAACTATTATTATAGTGCTTGGATCTCTTTTTTTCCACAGGTAAACATCATTCTTGGTGTTTCAATATGTTGGATAAATCCCTCCACTTCTTGGTTCATGGAAATAACATGAAATAACTAGTGTCAAATTGTTATCATGATCAGTTTCTTGGCTAAATCCCATGTAGTGTTAGTGAAAACCCCAAAAGAAGGACATTTGAGCAGGGCTCAAAACCCCTGTTGGCTGATTATGTCGGGTTATACTATCCTTTATACATGTTCAGCATCCATTATGTCAAGGATAGTATATTATATCAATATATCTTCAATAGGATTTCCCATCCATTAATCTTTATCATCTGGTTGGTGGTTTCAATCATGTTTTATTTTCCATAATATATGGGAGAATCCTTCCCATTGACTTTCATATTTTTCAAGATGGTTAAAACCACCAACCAGTTAATGGATTTTCCATTAATAGATTTGGGTTCCATGAATGGACTTTCCCTTCAATAGGATTTTCCATATAATATTATATAAATATATCTTCAATATTTCCTAATTCTTTGATAATAGGATTTTCTGAACATATTTTTCAATAACATCCATTTATAATGGTATAAATCATATGGCTAATTATGTGGTTTCCCGCTTCAAAAAAATGGTTTCAAGCCCAAGATTGAGACGAGTCGCGACGAGTGATGCGACTCGTCACGAGGTGATGAAATCTCTGGAGCTCCACACTTTGACGTTCCTTGGCGGTTGCGAAAGTGACAGATCAATGAAGAAATTGGGGGTAGTCTCTGGTAATTTGTTACATAGCTATTGAAAATTGCCATAGAAATAGTGGATTTACCCATTGAAAATGGTGATTTTCAATAGCTATGTTAAATTACCAGAGGGTAGTCTCTACTTAGATGAGACTAACTGGGATTCACAAACTGGTTAGTAACTGGTTAGTAACTGGGGTTAGTCTCTAGGTCAATCGACTGGATGGGTAGTTTATATAATCTTTAGTATCCTATTGGGAGTCTTTTGGTATCAATGGGATTATCTACGTTCACCAGCGGAGAATTTATTTTTCTTCAGGGTATCTAAGATTGGCCATGGTCTAAGCTTGGACAATTGGGATTGAATTGAGTTATATACTGTGTAATTAATGGCTTTAAGTTCAATTAACAATTATATAACCATGCTTGAGCAGTTCAAATTGGCTTCCACGTGCATGGGTAAAACGGATAAATAATGGGGAATTCAATCAAGTTGCCCAACAATAAAGGGGAGATGGATATGAGTCAGATTTTAAAAGCCAAGAAAATCATAGAGCTTAGTCTTGTCTTGGGTATTTGGGTTTTGACATCCAGTTGTAGAGGGAACCAACAATACCCATACGTAGTATGTGTAATTCAGTCAATCCAAAACTGGTATCCCAAAGCAAAACGGCAAAACGGTGAAACGGTCGACCGGGGATATTACTGGATAGATGCCATCCCGTGTTGCTGGAGCTGCTGGGGTCATCAAAATGGGCAGACCAAGCATGGGGGCTTAAGCTAAATCATAATATGATCTTGCCGATATAGCTACAAAGATATGAATGGATGCGCCTATATATAGATCATCAGAAAAGTCCCAATACTCAACTGGGGTACCTGAGGGGTGATGGTGGTTTATTAATAGAGGAAAAAAACTACAGGCCAACAACGGGCTCATAGTAAACCCCAATAAGTCAATTTTAAATTGCTGGTTTGAAAGTGTGGGAAAAAAACCCTATATCCCACCATATCTCAGATGCTTCAAAGCCAGGAACATTCACTTATAGTATACCTCTTTTATTTTATGGTGACTTATTAAAGTCATATTTAGATATATTGTTCACCCTATACCTCCTTTATATATGGTGACAACAAAAAAAAACGTCATAATTGACAAAAAGCGCTGCAGGATGCCTTTACGGCGTCTCCGCCGTGAGGTCTCCCTTCGTCCACCTGAACTACCCGCGGCTCATCACGTCGCTGTCGCCCTGTCGCGCTGAAGTCTTTCGACAGATCTTCGATCGACCTCCATCGAGGCCGGGGGTTGTCGGCTCAGGCGGGTTGGGGTTGAAACAAACAGGATGGGACATAGATTGGACATTTTAATACATTTTATATAAAGCAGTTACTTACTGTAATACATACGAAACACATAATGAAACAAAAAGAAAAATGGTGGGATTTTGTTCACATTGACAATAGATGACAAAGTGTGGAAAGGAAGCACTTCAAGGGTCGGAAACCATCAAGAAAACCTAAGCAAATACAGGAAAGAACAGATTTATCAAATCAAAAAGTTGGCTTTCCTTGTTATAACAGTTTTGTAGAATCTTCTTGTGCAGTTTGAGTTTAACACAAAGCCAATGTTTGAAAAGTCCGGTTGCTGCCAAAGATTGGGGGTTTGTCCGGATACGCCAATGTCAGGAATGCTCAGAACATCTAAGAACTATAGTTGAATGACCATGTGGCATGTGTTGAAATGCGTGGAGCATGGCACACATCAAGAAAGCAGTTGATGATGTTTCTACCTAAGTCCTGTGTCTACCACTAAGGTTGGCATGTCAACCGCATCCACTCTCGCGCTTCAGCATTTGGAGCAAATTGATATTGTGTAGTGTAATATTGTGTAAAAAGATGTTTCTAGATGTTAGAAGCGCTAAAACTGTGTAAAGAAATGTGTCGTGTATCTCGAAGATGTCCCAAATTCCCATTGGTTGGTTGATGAAAAAAGAGGGGTTTGGAGGTTTACCCCATTAACAACAGGTTTGTTTGATGATACCCTCTGGTAAACTAACATAGCTATGGAAAATTGCCATTTATAGTGGATTTACCCATTAAAAATGGTGATTTTCCATAGCTATGTTAAATTACCAGAGGGTAGATGGGATGAAAACCAGCTCCCGGCCCCTCTATTTTTTTACCTTTAGAGGACATTCTGTCGTTGTCGCCTCAGCAGTCCCAAATCTCCCCAAAGCGCCGTGCGTCTTCTTTTCGACTGGTTGACTGATGTTGGTGGTTCCATGGGCAAAATCGTCGTTTAATGGTGGTTTTCCTAGTGATTAATAGATATTAATAGTGGTTAAATAAGGATTCACTGATTGGTGGTTTGGAACATGAACTTTATTTTCCATTTCATGTATGGGATGGAATAATCCTTCCCATTGACTATTTGACGAACTCATATGTTTCAAGATGGTTAAAACCACCAACCAGTTGATCATAGTTGATAGTTCTTCAGCATGTTTGATAAGAAAATGTGATCAACTATTGTCAGCTATGATCAACACATTTTTTTGAACTATTGGAAACTATTAGAAACTATGATCAAGCATTAGAAACTATTATCAACCATTAGAAACTACTATCAACCATTAGAAACTATTATCAACTATTATAGAAATGATTATCAACTTATCAGCCATTATAGAAACTATTATCAACCATTAGAAACTATTGTCAACCATTATAGAAACTATTATCAACTATTATAACATTATCAACAGGTTATTTACCTTTTCTCACTTTTCGCTTTTCGCCCAGGACCTTGGGCTCCTACTGCTGTGCTCAATTTGCGGTTTCCAGGGCTCGCATCAAAGGCAACCCTTTGGAGAGGCCCCTGGGACAGCCTGGTGAGGGATGGATCGGCAAGCCTGTGGGAGACTGGCGGTGAAGGCTTTGGGAAGGGGTAGAGAATGGTAGAGATGTTGGTTACATATGGTTACATCTTGTTATGTTGAAAATGATGTCCCACTAAGCGTGCTTACATCATCTTACATCCAGTTTCTAAGCCTTTACTTCAGGTCTCCTCCGGCGTCGTGAAGCTCTTGGCCAGGTACCAACGTATGCAGCAGATGCTCTTCAGCGAGTCACCGGAAGTGTGTCATGACATTCCCGGGCATCCCACTTTATGTCTGATGTTTGAGGTGCTGCTCAGTGGCGGACTGGATCTTGAAAGCTTGGGAGGTGATGAGGAAGTTTCATCGGTTGCACATGGTTGCACTGTGATTTAAGGAGTGTACGTTGTGCACATCTATGATTTGCGAATTGGCATGAGGCCGCAAAATCAAGCAATGTGTTGGTATATTTGCAACTTTGCATGTTCTGGTTTCCGGAAGTTCAGGAAGGGCATTCAACATCCACCCCTCAAGTTTGAAACCCTTTGTGGCGACCGTATTCAGTTCGCCAACTGAGCATGGCCCAAGAACTATGGATCTTGCTCAAGAAAGGGCATGGTCGCATACCATCCCATAAAATCATATAACATCTAATCTCATCCCTCACTGGTATTAGATACCTGTAATATGGCCCCATGATGACTTGATCCAGGTGTATTGGCACGTTCTCTTCGGTGAGAAGGATGAGCTTCCAACACGCGCGGAGAATGCGGCACTGAATCTCGGCTACGCGGATGACTTTCATTGGATTGGAGGGAACATCTTAACCGGAAACCCATGGTTTTTACCATGAAATATGGGGGTTTCCTGTAAAATTTCCCCAACAAACCAATGCAATGAATATTATAGCGAAAGATGTCGGATTTTGCCCTTTGGAATGGGTTGTTGAGACCTATGACTTTCCGGGGAGCGTGTTCCAAATGTTGGGAGTGTTGCACCCTCTGTCTCGCTCTCTTTGTCCAGGCAACTCTTTCTGCGAATCAGAGATTTGGAGAATGAGTCGTGTCTTGCCAGACCGCCTCCTGAAATGAAAGAACTTCTGGTGGAAGGGCCGCAGGGCCATGGCTACTTGAATGACTCTCGAGTTTTACAACCGTCTGTGCACGTGCTTCACAGTTGGTATGTAGTTCATAGATGTTAACAACCATGGTTCCTTCATCCATACGATGAACCCCAGCGATTAACAGGTTTTACCACCAACGTTGCCGGTGTTTTTTCGAATTCTGTGGGGATAGGCTCAAACGGCGGAAACGGGGAGCTTTCCGACGGACCCAAGATCTCAACGTGTCATTGATGGCCATTTCCTTCAAAGGTCAGGCACCAATATGTTGCATCTTAGCCCATGAAACATATGAAACTTGGTCTCAGTTGGTTGCGGGATGTTGCGGGCAGAAAAACATGCTCAGGTTGTGTCGTTCCTTTTTGCCACAAAATCTTGCGCCAACCACTTGCGATTTTTTGTGGGGGATGGGAGTTGCAACCAGGAACTGCAGGGCTTTGGTGATCCTTCTCAGCTCCAGCATGTTTCCTTGTAATGATTTCCTTCACCGAACAGCACTGATTTTGGGAGGGGTTACTCATTATTGGTCCCCATTTTCCAGAATTTGCAAGAAACATCTCCGGAAGGACCCAAGCTCCCGTGCCAACCACGCTGGATGCCCGTGGGTTTCCTAAGGTATTTGCCTCCTGGCTCGATGTTCTTGAAACTGGTCTCCGGTCGAAGCTGACGAGCCGATCAAGCTGACAAAATCGACAAGCGCTGCAGCGAAGATCTGGGGGGTGATAATCAGTGAAGATGGATATTTGGGTGGCTATTGTGGGTGTTGGTTGAGGTACATATAGGATCATATAGGATCATATAGGATCATATAGGATCATATAGGATCATATAGGATCATATAGGTACATATTCATGGTGAACAGAATTTGGACACTATGTAAGATCTTCATGAGTTAATTATTCTGCATATCGTAGTAATCCTGGGTTTGGTGTATTGGTTGCACAGAAACCTTGCATCAAGCAGTCCTTTTGGGCACAGTTCTGGGGCCCCCAAAATGCATGCATTTATTGTGACACACACAGAGCAGGTTATTGGAGAGTGGAGGTACTGTTTTTCATAGGTCTTGCCCTCGCCTTGAGGATTCCTGAAGATTCCTAGGTTATGTTTCAAAAGCAATCTACTCACCTGCACTACAGGTTCCTATTGGTTGTCAGACCCCTTCGATTTTGTAGCTCCAGCGCCGCAGGGGATGCTGAGACACAGGTGGGCTGGGTGACACTGAAGACTGGGTGTGAGGCTATGGTACTGGGTAGAAAAGCCATCATAAAAAGCTAAGCAAGGTATGAACGATTATTTATCCGTGGCACATGGGGTATACAATGGGTATACTTTGTTCATCTTTGTTCTGTCATTCCTAACTGGGAGGCGAGATCGGCTGATGTATTGTTGAAAACATCAGGCTTTTGTGGTCTAATTGAAAAGGTATCGACAGCGGTATCTCTATTCGATAATTGCTCTGCATTTGCATGCCACCAAACAAAAAGTAAATGTGAAATAATTTGAATATAGTGTTCGCGGCTCCTGGTCATAGACCTATTGACCTATCGTGAACTATCGTGAACATCATCAACAACAGATATCAAGTGACTATTGTTTTCTGAAGGATTTTCAGGGCCCACCCAAAGCTGTCTCAGCCATCCACCAGGCCGCAAGAATACCAGAGCTTTGCTGCACACAGTGCGGCATACCCTACCAAACCTCAAGGCGGCAGCTCCCACGGCGCCTTTTTTCTACAAACAGAAAGAACATGAGAAGTTCATGAGGCTTCCATGTTAGTTATCTCATGATATCTCATGTCATATCACATATAAGTATATAATAAGCATTAATTAGCTATGGCATGCTATGGCTATATTGTATATACTGTGCATGTATAATCACATAGGTACAGGAAGGTCACACAAAATATGGAGCGGGCGCAGGTGACCAGGTGACAGAGGTGACCATGAAATGAAGCCCCAAATGGGAGGAGAACTATGGGAAAATAGAGGAAAATCCACGATAAATGAATGTTTCATGGAGGTAAACCAAGAATTCATATGGAGGTTTCTTAAAATAGGACCCCCCAAACCATGAGTTTCACATGTTTCACTACGAAAATGGTCGACTTGGGATGAACTGTACCACCCATGACTTAGGAAACCTCGTGGCAAAGATGCGATGCTGATGTACTGCCCAACCGATTGCCCAAACCGAACTCCAGCTGTCTGGAGTTGTTGCATGATTTTGCCACCTGCCGACAAATCTTGCCAATGCGGGACCCATGTCCTTCTCCTCCACAAATCTACAATCATTCAAGTCTGTCCTCGATCCCGTTGTCCCAGCACCAATCGCAGTTGCTCAACCAGCTTCAATTTTGGCTGCGAAAGGAGAAGACATTTGACATGCCATCATGATCATCATGATCATCATGCCACATGTGATGACTTTGTAAGGAATGCGTCATAGAATCGAATGGTATACCATGGTGCCCCAGTGAGATCTTGAGCCTGGTGAAATATCAATGCAGAATGCAGCTGAGTATTTTGTTGCTATAGGATAGTGAGTCCCACCGTCACAAGGCCCCAGCGACTCCTTAACCGAACAGAGGAAGTGGAGCTTGGCTGGTTCAGACTGATATGCAGCAGGGCCCTGGATGTGAATCTGTGATGGAGTCGACTTCAAATGATGCCTGATCTCTCATTGCTGGACTCTGAGTTTGCAACAGGTGCAATTTTGCGTCGTGGAAAAACTGCACAATTCTTTGATGTTCTTGGTATGTGTGATCAAACCATATATGTCTATGTATATATGTAATATATATATATGTAATATATATATATATGTAATATATATATGTAATATATATATAATATTATATACATATAGTTTGTATAGTCAGTCCCTTCAACTATTCTACCCATTTCGGGCAACACTTCTTAGCTTTTAGGGGGGCGCCATGGGGCCCCACATTTTGCCAAGGCCACTGGGGCGCCAGGATCCCTACTTTTCAGATGATGAGACCACCAGGCAGGGCCATGAGACCATCCAGCTGGGGTAGCCCCATGACTATCCCCAAATGACTAAAGCTGAATTTGGGTATGTTCTTATGTGAGATATCACTTATAGCTGTTTTTTTTTGGCTTTTTTTTTCTCATGAAAATGCCTTAATTACTATGATAAGGTCGTGCGCCAGAGGCAGAGTTTTTCCGGACATCATGGGGATCAAAATCACCGCGCTGTGTAACTGGACCCATCAGATGCTTCGGAAACTCGTCCGAGGTTCGTGTTTTATTGGTGCCTCCTCTGGGTGACCTTGCACTACCTGGCGTGGCCCTTGTGGCAACGAAGGAGGGTATCTTGGCTGGACATCCCAGGATGTTTGTAGATTTTATTTGTGATGTGGTAAACCCAATGCCATGGACCATCCCTAATATTTCCATAATATTACCACTTACCAGACTTACCATTTTTTTTTAATGTTTTTATGGGTGGTAAAAAAAAAAAACATCTCCAATGATAGGTTTATGACATTGGAGTTATCACATTAGTTGAATTTCCCCGGCTGAACGAAACCTCCATGGCTGGTTCAGGGATTTTCCAGCTTGACATTGCATTAGTTCCTCCACTATAAAGTAAGTTTGCTAAAAACTGTCCGATATCAATTTGTAGAACCCCCTTGTTGCTGATGGAACATTGACAGTCCACGTTGTCACGACATTTATTTCCAGTTTGAGTCCTGCAGGTAGGCTATATACCTGTTTTGCTCATCACTTTCCAGCTTTCACCATAAGTTTCGAGCCATTCTCTACAATCTACAATATTCCCCAGGTCCTTTGCTTTAAAAATGGCTTTCACAACCTGAGTTTTGAAACTGTCACTGGTGAGCTGCGGTGCTGCGGTGCAGGTACTGGGGCTGATTTGTTCCCCCACGCCAGTGGAGAGGTGGGTGACTGGGTGACTTGAGATGAGTATGAGGACGGTGCAATGTGTTGGGTAATTTCTGGAAAATTCACAGTTGGACCCTGAAAATCACCAGTTTTTAGTGGAATTTCTTCCAACCCTTATCTGGCAGGTTGAACTGTTAATTTACTGGAGGGTAACATGAGTCTGGCGATGATTATTGCTGCTTTCAACACAAATCAAAAGCTGTTTGTTTCAGGAGAATCATGTTTGAACAAAAAATGAAGATTCGATATGGCAGACACAAATTGTATTAGGGCACCAATAAAAAGAACTATTTGAAGAATCCTGTCAAAAACTAATAATTGTGAGCATGATTGTGTTTTTAGATATTTCAATGAACATCAAATACTGATATTTTTCGTAATCATTGAACAAACATTGTTTGGAATTCTTCCGTTCAGGGTTTCCTTGAAATTGTGCTCGCCATGAATTCTTTTCTTTTCTTCACCACCCCACCCGGCCAGATACAGACGTCGGCTTTGCCGCTCTCAAGCAGAGCCCTTGGAGAAAATGATCCTGAGAAGATGTTACAGTTATGGCCCTTTACCACTTATAAGTACTTATAACTTATAACCCCATTTATAGAATATATAATCCCATTTATAACCAGTTATAATTGATAAATGGCCATAACTGTACAATTGCTATGAGTAGGTCCAGACGAAATCACTGCCTTTTTGGCACAATCCATCAGATCATAAGGAAATCATGGTAAATGTACGCCTAGCCCAGCTGTCCGCAAAATGTGTTGAGTATTGGTGGATACGAATCATCCCCATTCAGGAGATATTCCCATCTATCATCATCTATCAATATCTCTATACAGTAATATAAATAATTACCTGGTTGGTGGTTTTGAACATTGTTTTATTTTTCCATATATTGGGAATAGCAACCCCATAGAATGGTTGAAACCACCAATTAGTTACATACTGTGTATATCCCCAAGTAAATCACTGTCATAGTGCCAGTGGCTCGAGCAATTTCTGACTTCGGCCATCCATTGGGGCGTAGAAAGTTTAGAACTTTCATGGCATCTCATAGCCTACGTAGTGATACGTAGTGTAGATGATGGAAAATCTGATTGAAACCCCTATATGTACATTTAAAAGAAAACAGAGTTTCCTGCAGAATTTCCACTCAAACCAATGACCTAGGATATGGAAACTCACCACTTTTAATGGGTACTTCATCTGTAAATGGGCCATGTTCAATAGCTATCTTAGGTTTCTAGTGTGCAGTGATCCAAATCCATCGAGGTGATACGTGGCTGAGGTCTACTGCAGCCTCGCAGTGCTGGGTGGTTTGAGACTCCTCTTAGGCTGCAGGTGGCCAGCAGCCTCAGCCGGAGCCAATGTTGTGATGTCGCCACGGATAGCCACGGATACGATATGATACGATGGACTGACCAGCTGACCAGTTCAGGATAGTTCAGGTCTTATAGGTACCAGCACCATCCAGGTCGGCACAAGATTTGCTCTATGCCTACTCTGATGAACACCAAGTGCTCTTCAGCATGGCCTGCGACCAAGCATGATATTTGGCCTCGATGAGAACGGCCGGCATGGTTTTTTTAGAGGGGGAAAAACGCCCCGCAAGTTATGACCAGTTTAAGATATGGCTATGGATCAATACCTATAAGTACCATTTTTAGTGGGATGAACATCCATTTACCAGCTATTTTGATGTTCACCAGGGGTACAAGGTTTTGACACACTGCTATATATGGACTGGCCACAATGATCAACCAGTGGAATCAGGGGATTTCGGGATAGCTGCAGTCGTCTAGTTTTTATTCATCTGAAGGTTTCCGTTTTGTCATGGTACCCGTAGTTTTCATCCATGTGATTTTTAGAGATTCTTCCATGTTATTCCATGTTATTTTGGGATTTCCATAAAATACCCTCTGGTAATTTAACAGTTTGCTCTTGAAAATGGCCCAGTCGAAATAGTGGATGACTACCCATTAATAGCATGGTGATTTTCCATAGTTATATGTTACTAATGGGAAAATCCACTAAAAACCACTATGAAAAAGGTAAACTCACCATGCTATTTCCATTTAATAGTGGATTTTCCCATTACCAGGCCGGGTAAACTTCACTTAAAACCAGCAATCGATCTCTGGGATCAGGCCATTGCTCACTGGTTGGTTTCAGTCTGGGAGGATCTTCAGAACTGGCACCTCTGGCACGGGTTGGATGGGTTGGAGGTCGGGGAAACCAGGTGGGGCTAGGTGGTTATGGCCCGAAATACCAGTTATAAGTGCTTATATATAACCCCATTTATAGAATATCTAATCCCATTTATAACCAGTTATAATTGATAAATTGCCATAACTGTAGGTGGTATACACCCAATACCATAAAGAAACCCAATACCATAAAGAAACCCCACTACTTTTCTTTTTTTTGCAGCGTTATAGTGTTATATATTTCTTTATTTGCTTAACTTCTTTATTGAGGTATATAAGAATGAAGTCTATATATGTTTGCAACTGTATTTTCATGTATTTTCAAGGTGAACCCATTTTTTGCAGATGTTTTTCATGGTAAACTCATGCAAACCCTGTTTGTTTGTAGATTATTTTTCATGCTAAACCCAACCTTTGTATAGTTTGTGTCAATATATACATATATATATATATATGTATATACACATTAATATAACCTATATCTATATCATCTATATCTATATCTATTTTGGGGAGTGAGGAATGTTACCTCGCCAGGACGTTTCTGCGTGGTGGACTGAGTGCCAAGGACACCCAGAGCCGGGCAGCCTGGTGGACCTATCCAATGTAGTCGTTCGTTTTCACGATGGTTGATGTTGGTTCATGATGGTTACCTGATCCAATTTTATTGATACAAAATTGGATATAGATGATAGATGATATAGATATAGGTTATATTAATTGGTGTGTAAATATATATATATATACGGAATCAATTTATATTTGATTTTGTGTTTTCAATATCATGTCGGGATCCCCTCGTCGATGGCAAGAACAACTTGTCTTGTTCAACAGGGTTTCGATGCAGTGCAGAGGGGTCGAGGCATGAGACGACGCAACGACTTCAGCAGTGGCCCCACCCCCGGGTGATCAAATCTCTACTTCTTTGGGGTGAAATGTCCTTCTTACTTGGGGAGAACTGTTGAACTGACCATGACTATGTTTAATCAATAGCATCTAGTATTGCATCCAGTCATAGCGGTATACAATGGTATACATATACACCTTAAAAAAAAACCATGTTTGGGTTCCATTGGGTTCCCATAGAATGAGATGGATTACCCACTTTCACCAGTCATCCCATTAAACTTGACCAGTCCGTATTGAGACTTTGGTTCAGGACATGTCGTATTCTTCAATACGTTTCTTCAAAATTGATTGGATAATTGATTGGTTAATTTGTTGGGATGAACATACAGAATCAGACTGGTGTGTTTTAACATATAGCCTCTGGTAAACTAAGATCGCGATGGACAATTGCCATTTAGTTCCTTGATTTACCCATGACTAGCATGGCGATTTTCCAGTTCGCAAACTGTGAACGTCATTACCAGAGGCTAAGCGGCTAACCACTCATACAGACGGGATGGGATAGCCATTGACCAAAGCTTTCAACGCGCCCAGATGGAGGGGATCCGAGTTACTTCCTGTGGCAAGCCTACTTGGTGTGACTCAGCAGATTTCATCAACCCTTGACCCCAACAATGAAAAGGTTCACAAACAACTCTTTGAGTTGGTTAAATCATGTTAAATCCCAAATTTGATGGTTCATCAACTAGTTACGTTTATAAGAGTTTATTAACCACCAACAACCACGAAAAGTGCTTTGTGACCATCCATTTGTTTAATTTTTGGGGGGACTTGACTGGGGGGGTGGTTGAATACCCATTGTACGGTACCAGGTTGAATTGCCACTCGCATCTGCATCCATTGATGTCTGAACAGTGGAGCATGCGAATGTGATGAGTACTGTATCTGAGTATGTTGATTTTTCACTATCATCATGACTTGGCTAAAATGCAGTGTACGTATATATATATATATAGATAGATAGATATGTAACGTTGTTCAACTGCTACACTGTGATTTAGAGTCTTGATGAAATAAGAATAAATAACATAATATATATATATACGCATATTGAATCTTCTGTCATACCCATAATATACATATGTATACTATGAATGTAAGTATTATATATTGGAGCTGTGCATATGTTCTTCCCATTTTCTGGATCACTTTTTCTACTTGTGGGCTAGGCATCATTTAGTGGCCGCCGTGGCCTTCGCTTGCGCCTTGCGCATGCGAGTCTGGGTGGCCCGGAGTTGTTTTGCTCATGACCAATCAACACCTTTAATCAACACCAACCAGATGTTAATAGTTGTTGACTAAAGATGATAGTTGATTGGTCAAACACCTTTAATCAACAAGATGGTCATTGATCAACAAGAGTTAATAGTTGAAACAGGTCATGGATTTTTCGGGGATTTCACGACCAAAGATGTGGATAATTTTCATCTATTTCACCGGCAAAGGCCTTGTTTTTAACTACTGTAAACATGTGGATGTGATTGATCAATGATGCTTGGTGGATGACAAAAAATTAGGCTATACTACCTGGAAGAGAAAAATCATCCATGGACTGGGAATACCATGGAATACCCCAGGGTATATTATTTTTTTGTGAGGAGTCTGTGGAGTCTTTTTGGAGATATGGACGGAACTCTATGATTAATATTGGTTAATGTTCAATATTTGAATCAAATGAATAAATTGCAGATTGTATGGGAATGAATTGTTTGCTTTTCTGCATAATATTGGATATGCAGATTTGACTATCTCACTAGCTTGGGCTTGCCCAAAAAGTAGATTGGGCACCCTATTTTCTTAGAAATCCAGAACATGGACCAAACCCATCCAGTAAACCAACATAGCTGTGAAAACATCCACCATCTGTAGATCATATGGATTCATATGGGGATGGGTCAAAACCTATAGTATTACCATGTTTTGGGGGAATAAACATCCATAAACCAACTTAGGGTACCATCTGGGTACCAGGGTTTTGACTCATAGCCATATGGAGGATTGCTCTTGAGGCATATCCATCAGCAAACGGTTGTTGGAGACCAGGATGAGACGTCGAAAATGAACGGTACTATATGTTCTGTTGTTATTTTTACTGTTTGCTTTGGAACATGACCCATCTTAGAATAGGATATACGTGTTTATAACATGGTTATGACATGGTTATGTTCAATGGTCATGTTCAATGGCAAACTGTTGGATCACCAGAGGGTAACATGGATGATCAAGATTGACTTCTTCAGTTGAGACTAACATACACCCTTCTCGTTGATGTTGATCTTAGTTGGCGACGGTTAGTGATACAGTATCACTTGGGTTGATTTCAGACACGGTTTTGGCAGCCAAATGATGCGTTGTGAACCCGCATGGGTCACAGTTTTAAGACTCAGCAGAACCGCAGATTGCGGCAAATTCCAGCAGTGGAACATGAAACTTTGGGGGCTTGTCAGAAAATGTTGCAGAACAACTCCCAATTTTAGTGGATTCTTACCCATTTCCCATTATTAAGCGTTGCCTTGAATCCTTGAGCTACTCGATCACCTCAGCGTCTCAGGTTTGCACAGGCCTTGCGGCCTTTGGCTTGGTCTGGCGCCCAGGACAAATTGACAAAGCCCGCCAGCTCAACATGTTTCCAATACAGATCACCATATCCACTAGAATATGACTATAAATCAGTACAAAACCACACATGTCATGGTTTCTACAATCTAAAATCCATATATTTCATGGTTTCTGCAGTATCACCATTCTCCCAACCATCATATCAGCCACCGAGATATTTGAGCTGCCGGTTCTCTACATGAATCACCGTGAGTTCATTGCCAGGGAGACCAAGCTGGTGGGAAAATATGGGAGAAAAGACAGCAAGAATTTGGGGATCCATAGTGGATATCTTATACAATTCTAGAAAAAGAACGGATAGATGTTCTGATATATATATATATATATATAATTACAATATAATATATATATATATATAATATTATATATTATATTGGATTGTAATAGATGGGCTACTTCTGAATTTGTTTTGCCCGCTTTTGACCAGTGCGTGTCGTTTCTTTCCATATTTGTTATGGAATGCTGTTTTGTAGTAGACTGCTGGACAATGGGAATGTCCTTTTACCACCTCTTTGATAAGATGATCCTCTGAATTTGATCAGTGTTCAAACTCCTGGTTGATGATTCCTTCCGGGGATAATAATATGACTATCCAATACCAATTGGGAGTGAACCAATCAGCAATGAACAGGGAATCCCATTCTGAACCAATCTGGAAATTGTCAAACTTGTCAAGTTGTGCAGTGTTTGGTTGATAGGTGAGTTGGCGGCTCGTTTGATTGACGGACGTGCGTAAGATGTTTGTATTGGTTGCACTGCGCGACTGTGTTGAAAGTCCAAAGGGTGTAGAGTCAAATGGTTTTTTGATGTAGGTATAATTGTGATACATATTTACTTGTTTAAACTAATTCAACAATGTTAAACCATTTTGCTTTGACAATGGGTTTGTCTTCTTTTTAGGTGGTAAACTAACATAGCTATGGAAAATATATTTAATGTTTCCATGATACTGGATCTCTATTTGCGCGGTTTGGTACGGTAAATCTATTAGATGTTTCCATGATTCACTGGATCTCTACACACAGCTATTGTGGTGTCATGGTGCGAGCCCTTTCCCTTGTTCAGGTCTATGCGGAGCAACCAGTGGAGTGGTTCCAAGACATCAGGTGCGCCTGGCAGCTGATAGTTATATTAATGGAATATCCATGAAGATCCCCTATGATATATGGGATTATATGGCATATCTATATATATATATATATGTGTATGGATATAATACAATATAATATAATATGATATAATATAATATAACATTTTCACTGCAGAAACGAGTTGTGTTTTCATGGCGATGGTTGTGGGAATTTATGGGGTAGAAAAATGGGAAGGTCTTCGGGGATTTACTGGGAGGTCGATGTGGGGATGTTTCAGCGTCGCAATCTCGGTCATGCTGTGGTAAACTTGTTTACTCAGGGGTTGAACAGGGAGCTACACCTGGTACTTGTACTGCAGTTTATACAGCAGGGGTAGCAGGATTTCGATCCACGACTATGTGGCAATCGTAGGTATCGTTTGATAGATAACTGTTTCAATGAGGGACAAGCAACTGTTTCTTGGATCAGTGCCATTTATGACTTTCAGATGGCAACCTTTCATTATGTTTCAATGTTCTGCGCCTCAGTGTGTACGATGCTGTCACGACGCAAAGTGTATTCAAGTACGCAGGGGAGCCAAACTTTATATTTCCGATATTTTTTGGAAGGGGACATCTGCAGGAAGCCCTTTTTGTCACAGTATTTCCAGTAGATTGTCCTTAAACCAAACCATTATTACCATTATAATATACCATTGAATGAATTTCAATATCATAATATCATGGCTTGCAGGCAAGTGGAACTCTTCTGGAGCACACTGATTCTTTGGTGGCGACTCGCGCGTGGGGTGTTGGGATGCCCAAAGCAGACACATCCAATTTTCACCATAGAAGTCCAGCTTTTGTTTCTGAATAGCCCCAACTTGATCTTTGCATGTTTACCTACTTTACTTGTGTTGTTTCACTTTGATCATGAGTTTGTTCGTCAGGATGCAATCTGGTTACACCCAGTTTTTGTTCGACCCCGTGGGGGGAGCGAAAAACGTCAATCAAAACGTCAATCTCTCCGCCGGAAAACGAGGCCCACGATGGTGTACATCTACTCCCTGATCTTTTGGTCAGAGGATCTGGCGAGGCTTTCCAACAAGGACGCTTGTTTTTTGTCGAATCTGTCGAATCATTGCCCGAAATTGGAGCTTTAGCCACTAAGAAAATAGAGATTTATGTATATCAATATGATAATATGTATATATATATATATATGTATATGTAATATATCAATTATATGATTATTATTTATCAATATGATAATATGTATATCGGTCAAAGCTTGGGCAACTGTCCAGTCCTTCTGGATGGTCATCAATCTATATAAAATTACTAGGGACTTAGAATGACCCATGACATCCGATGTTGGGATTCCCATGGCGTCATACCACAATCATCCCGAGGATTCGTGCACGGTTTTCCATAAGCTTTCCCATGAAACCATCCAGCCATTGGGGTACCATGACAATAGAAACCCCAATGGCTGGTGAAATGCATCCAGCTATGACCAGTGGCCCAGCTATGAAACTCCAGGAGGCATGGACTTACCATGGCATGGCCATTTTTTTCTCAGCGACACGGCAGCAGACGCAGCAGAATTTTCACGTGATTTAAGGAGTCCAGGGTTGGGAAAATGCCGAAACACACATGGCCGAAAGACCAGATGAAAACTGTTTAAAACCCAATGTGGGAGAGAGAAATATAGTGAACTATATATACTTTTTGAAATAGGACAGTTCAACCAGCTTTGTTCAGCAACAGGTCCTGCTGTACTCAGGTCTTAAATTGGGCTCTAGCCTCAACTTACCTGGGTGCTTGGCAGAAGAAGGACCTGTTAAACTTGTGGCATTTTGGGGCATCCTTTCTCTGCGGATGGGTCTAAGATAGTCGATCCATGTCGATCCCTTGGCGGCGATCCGGACAGTTCCAGTTAGTAGGAGCCCATGCCGTCCTTATGGAAATCCAGGTCGACAAAAATCCATGATCAAAGTAACTGGTGAATCTCCTATTAAGAAAAAAGAACTCCAGTTTCCTATCCTTGTTCTTTTTGTATCTTCTTGGATGAAGAATAATAGTTTTTGTTTTCCAAGGAACAATGATATGTTTTCTAAACTGTATTCTTCATGTCCAAGTGTTTTAGAAAAAAGTTATCAGTGAGAGTTCTTAGATGTCCGAAGTTTTTTCCTTTTTGTGGAGATGGTGCCGTTTTTGGTTCGCCGCAGGATTTGGAAGTGGCTAGCAGCCTGGACCCCTGGGGAGCGCTTGGAACAGCAAGGATATACTGGTACAACGGGAGAATGATCATTAATCCCCCATAAAATAGTATAATTCCCCCATAATGGGCATACAAACCATTGTAGAGTATTATTCCCCCATAATGGCATGCCCCCATAATTTAATATTATACAATGTGCATATTAATCTGATAAAATAGTATAATTCATAATTAATCTGGTATAAATATGGCATCATAATAAGGTACAATATGGATCAATATGCTATAATGGGATATAAAACCAAAGTTGTTTGGCTGTGGTACCTGAAAATTGGGGTTTTTCAGCCACCAGCAAAAATGGCAATTTTATTTCAGGGATGTTTTGGTGAACCATGGTGATGCCACCAGCTACAAGGACAATCCCAACCAGCGACTGTGTGTTATAGAAAACCATGGTTGTTTCATGGTTGTGTCATTTGCATCCATTTTTCTTGGTGTTTTTTTTCCTGCTTCATTTTATGTTTAAAGTTGGTGAGACACCTTGCTCCGTTGCCTCATTGTCCCACCATCAAGGACAACGACCGAGGTGCTGCCGCCACAGAGTTTGAAGAGAAGTTCAGGGAACTGCTGAAGCCGGATGATGAGGCTGCACCACATTGCTGCTGTCGGAAGAATTCGGTGAGAAGCCTTCGAAATTGAATGGACATTTGATAGTTTTGGCCTCACCATGATTGCATTTGTTTCATAAAAAGTTGAAAGCAACGTAGCAAAACGAAAAGTGGATATAGTGACATAGTGGATACTGCATGGCCGAAAGTGTCGTCAGAAAGAATTGGGGACGTTTCGGATGGTGAGTTGAAACCAGCTTAGAGCCATGGAGTGCATGGAGATTTCTTCACGAGTGGAATTCCTCAATTCCATATAATATATATATATATATTCCCAATATATCATATATATCATTATCGGGACTATAAGATATATCTATCAATTGTATATTCCCATATATTCATATATTTATCTTCTCCCCGGGACTTTGCATCGAGAGAGAACCATGCAATGACCAAACAAAAAACACCAAGGATATGAGGAATGTGATGTTTTTTCCTCGTGTGTTTCGTAGGTTGGCATATCTATCCAGAATATATTCCCATTATGTCCCCATTATGTTCCATGATATCCCCATTGACCTTTGTTCCCATGATTTCCCCATTATACCACCATTTATATACTGTATATCATGGAGATAAATGATATATCCACCATATATAGTTAATCCAGTATAAATATATGATATATGGTGGATATATATATATGGATTGGGTTACCATCAGTTATACAGTTGATTTTCCCAGTGAACTCAACCTCCATGGCGAGTTGGGGCATCGCCAGTAGGTGCAACTGGCCGAGAAGGAGAAGAAGGCGCCGCGAAGCAGTTACGACGTTTCCTGGATTTTTTTGGATCTCTGACCTGTAATATGCTCCATGCTGGAAGATGTACCCAAATGTATCCAAATGACCCAAAATGAATCAAATATATCCAAATGACCCAAAGCGAATCAAATGTACTGTATCCAAATGTATCCAATGTATCCAAATGTTGGTAAATATTCCAGCACCATGGAGCATATGGGTAGTAGTTTTGCTGTGGTTGCCGGTTCATCTCAGGTCTTTTCGTTCAATCTGCAGAAAAAATCTGCAGAAAAATCTGCTGCCCAGGCGGAGGAAAGCAGCATCGCTCAGGACATCCCTGAAGTGGTGAAAGAACCATTGATGCAGGTGGAATTCGCTGGATGAATCGGCATTTCTATGGCTACTCCAGGAAATATGATGAAAGAACAGGGAAAATTACCCTCTGGTTATGTCAAAATAGCTATTGAAAATGACCATTTATAGTGGATTTTCCCATTAAAAATGGTGATTTTCAATAGCTATGTTAAATTACCAGAGGGTAGACCGAAATTGATGGAAATTGTATGTTTGTCATTTCTGGGACACCCCTCTAAGGTTTCCATGCAGAAACAACCAAGTTCAGAAGCTTTGGGATTTCCATTTGGTTGAAATTGGTGTCTTCCGAAAGTGGAACGGCTTTGTTGCTCTGGATTGTTGGGTTCCAAATGATATCCAGCCCACACAAAAATGGGTTGGATGCGCTAGGATGCTATTTTTTTTTCGTCGATGGATTATGGTTTTCCTTGGTTTTCCCAAGTTTGTGACCTGCAAAATGAATTTTGAACCAGTCAACATCATTATCATTGTTCAACGGAATTGTATGGAATTGTCGTATCATTTGAGTGATACTTGGTGCTGATGGCGCATTTCAGTGGTGATTGACAGCCCCTGTCTGATGCTGCAGGTTCCTCCGGAGATGTTTGCCAAGGCGTGGATCGGTCTGGTTTCGATGTTTTTTGCAACCCCTCCGGTATCAGCAAAGATGGAATGTTGGGATGTTGGGGAAATCCCATAGATTTACCATAGATTTACCATAGATTTATCATAGATTTACCATAGATTTACCATAGATTTATAGAGGTTTAATCCCCTATAAATATAGGTTTTATAGATGGTTAAACAGTGGAAAAAGTCATCGAACTTGCTGGAAAACTTCCAGGATGTCGGGATTTGACCAGCAAACATTGAGAACAACAACGGAGATTTCATCGATATGAAACGGGTATGGACTCATGGACCAAACGTTTTACCCTCTGGTAATTTAACATAGCTATCGAAAATGACCATTTATAGTGGATTTTCCCATTGAAAATGGTGATGTTCCATAGTTATGTTAGTTTACCAGAGGGTAGGCCCCTGAACAACAGAGTGACTGGTTCTTGTACTCGGCGTTCATAAAACACTTTGTGCCCGACTTCAACTCACTCACCTTTAGAATGTCAATGAACTACCAAAAATGCGCACTTTTTTCGAGAGAACCAAAACTGCTTGATGGTTTCAGCTCCGTTTTGAACGTTGAACACTTTATTTTTTGATGAGTCTCCTGACTGGTACCCATATTTTGGCACTGGTTCAAATCATTACCCTCTGGTAATTTAACATAGCTATTGAACATGGCCCACTGAAATAGTTGATTGACCGACTAAAGATGGTGATTTTCCAGTTCGCTATGTTAGTTTGCCAGCGGGTATAATTTTTAAGCGTCAACCACAAGACTTGCGAAACTTGATTCATATTGATTCCAGAGCCGTCCATTCAACATCCTGGGCACCATTTGATTCTAAGATTATACCAGTTGATTCTAAATTATGGATAATTATGCTTCATAAACCCATAAACCAAGACTGTGTACTATTTTTGCTTGTAGAAACTACAAAAAATAATAGCGTATATTTATTATGTATCCACAACTCGTCTCCCCATGAAGCCATAAGAATCATAAGATTCTGAGCTCATAAACATTCATAAAGCATTTATTGTCAACCCTGGATCAATAAACCCTTTGGCTGGTTGATTGGAGTAGTACCACCCTAATTAATAAACCATGGTTTATTAATCCGGGGTTGACATTATTGTATATCTCTCATATCTGGTCCATAGATTTCAGGATAGGATTTCAGGTCCCAGGCCTTGTGGAAAAGTACGCCGGAACTTCACCCTTTGCTGGAAAATGACCTATTTACTTGGATGATAATTATCGCATATTATATATATATTATGTATATATATATACATAAGATTATAATATATATATATGATATAATTTATATGTCTATATATCATATATATATATATATTATAAATATATGAGATACATAGTTTCCTATGTTAAAAAGTTGGGATGTTCCATGGTTTCCAGCAAACAGTGTGTAGCATAAAATGGGCAGCCCATGGATTATCCACTGGAGACCCTGAGCCAGGCTCAGGGAGAAGAGGGTCAACTGTGGCTGGAGGCGATTCACGCTGGGATGATGGATATACCAAGTGGTTTTTTTTTTGTGTTTTCTGTTGGTCAATGGGAAATCCATGGGAAATCCATGGAAAAACGATGATTACTGGTTGGTGGTTTGGAACATGAATTTTATTTTTCCATATATTGGGAATAATCATCCCAACTGACTAATATTTTTCAGAGGGATTGAAACCACCAACCAGTTTGTGTTTTCTGTTGGTGAGCGTTTTTTTTAAACCGTGCACAACTTTGAAATCGTGAAAACATATGAACAAAAGTAGAGAGGTAATCGGCTGAGGAGAAATGAATTCAGAATGTGTGAAACATCTTTGAAATTCTCAACGCTTTTCACATAGCCAGCACCCGCCTTCGCGTAGTCATTCTGTATGAAGTTGAGGGGAACGGAAAGAAAGTATATATTTAATGCAGCAGAACCAGGAACCATTGTCTCAGCAAATAAAATATCAAAAAAAGTGAAGGTGAGCGAATTATATTTTAGCTAGTGAACTGTTTAAGGAACAAACAAGCCAATCAACCTATAACATTCACCCTGACCTGAGTCAGGATTTGCATTCGGTGACGAAATTCGGTGACGAAATTCGATGATGAAAATTAAGTGACGAAAATCCGCGACAAACATTCAGTGAGATCTTCGATTGCTGGGCACGTATGTATACTTAATATTATATACAGTACTATATCATGTAATATATTGTGTATATATATATACACTATATGATACAGATGTTATATATATAAATATATATGTATATTATATTATATATTATATAATATTATTATATATTATTATTATATTATATATATTATATATTATAGTATATTATTTGATATATGTCTTATGTATCAGTCTTTTTGCTCGACCCTACTTTAGCAATGGTTTTAAAGATTCAATACTGAGTTTACAACCAAGAGAGTTGGAATTCATAGCTTCGGTGAGAACAACCAAGTCACCCGTTGGTCACACTACAACAAGTACAAAGTGTTGGTGATTCTATCGTCCCCCGTTGATCGGAGGAGTCCGTTACCATATATATATATATACATATACATAAATTATATTTCTTTTCTGACTGTGAATTCAACAAAGCTCTAAGTTTGTAACCCTGTTGCTGATACAATGAGGAACCATGTGTTCGAAATGCCAAAAACTTGGACATACTTGGGCCATTCCACAGATCCGTTGGTCATCCCTTCCGGTTGATCCATCTTGATCTATGGGAACTGCTGTCAATGTCTTCATATGTTTTCATTGGGCACATGGTGAACATCAAATGGACCCGGGTTTGGAATCCCATATTTTTTTGTGGTTTAGCAGCCCATTAAACAGAACCAGTATTAGGAAGCCATGTCAAAGCTATTAAAGCTAATGATTTATTACCTCATTGGAATCCCATCCCAGTTATATGAAACATCCCCCAGAAACCATGGTGACATGTAGGGGGTTGGAAAAACATATTTGGGACCATACAATGGGGTGTTTAATATGGATGGGGGAATGGGATTTGTTTTAATCATTTACATTCATTTACTGTACAAAACCTAGCTATAGATTATATCTATCCCACAAAGCCTTATATATATATATATATATATATACGTGTATATATCATATCCATAAAGCCCACAGATATATCTACCATAAACCAATGGCTATAACTGTAAACAAAAACGGTGAGTATGCCCAACGTGCCTCAGATAGACAACGTGGCCTACGACCTCACCGAGTTTCTAGGCTGGCTGGTGGTGTTGTTTTCCACATCGAAGTCTTAGTTTAGAGTAGGGTTGTTTTCCACATCGAAGTCTTAGTTTAGAGATGTCCCAATATTCGGTTTTGAGATCATTATACAGTGTATATATATACATATTTTTTAGGGACTCCGCTTGATCTTCAACATGCTTGGCTCGATCAGCTACCTGGAGCCCTCAGAAGCGAACTGAGTTGTCATGTGCAACTAGATAGCATTGCGCTACGAACTGTGAACTTCTCAAAACGGCAAGTTCCATGATGTTCCAGCTGTAGATCTGTAGCAAGTTCTTGGATTTTTTAAGATTGCGAAAAACTGATCTCAACTGACATTCCACATTCAACCATCTTTACCAACATAGGGTATCATTTCTGTCGCACCCACTGGTTCCACGTTCGTTGCGAGGCAAACACCCTGGAGGTGATTCCATCCTGCGAAAATTTGCGGGGAAAGATGCCTCCAAGGCACGGCAAACAGCACGGATTTGTTGGGTGGAAATGGGTCTGGAAATGTGGTATACCTGGTACCCTCTGGTAATTTAACATAGCTATTGAAAATGTTGATTTATAGTGGATTTAGCCATCAAAAATAGTGATTTTCCATAGTTATGTTAGTTTACCAGAGGGTATACCTCCAATTGTAGCCATAGCTGATGATTAACCATTTGGGGAGGTACCCGATTTTCAAACAAAGCCATTTGTTTAGAGATACCTATAGGTACCTTTTGGATCCTTTTGGCTATCAGAATCATTATAGTCGATAAGACCAAACATGTCACTTCATGGGTTCCTCTATGAACATGGCTTTTTCATGCCTTTTTCAGGGGGTTGCCATTTACTGGACCACCAAAAGGTGAAGGACGAAACAACAAGCCAAATGCACATATTTGGATATAGTTTCATCGCAGTGTTCGTGAATAAAGTCAAGGAAGATTCAGGCTCACTTTGGACACATGGTCAAAATTGTTTGTCTCACAAAATAATCCTGCCTAGTCTTGGTTTCGTCCTTCCGTGCCAAGTGTTTCCCCAGAATGTTTCAATAGTGGGCCAGCCGTTTCGGCACTGAGTTTTTCATCCGCGGCAGGCCTTTCACAAAGCAAAACATTCGATGCAAGCGAAGATGCAGATGCAGATGTATTGTTTGGGTCCCATGATGAAGGAGTCGAGTCAGCTGACTATAGCTGACTGGTGGGGAAACCCCAGAATGTTTCAATAGTGTTGGCATGTGTTGGCGAGTTGCACCAATATAAGAACACATCCAACCAACATATCCAAACATTGTATTTATCGTAATCAACAAATTTCTTCGCAGGACACATGTTCACTTCAATGTATATTGGGGATGATGATACTCCAATGATTGTTTTGGGATAGGTTCAAACCACCACTGGTCAATTAATGTCAATTATGTGTGTTGCATGTGTGTTGCCGTATGAATGTTGATTGGCCTGTGACTGTTCCGAAGCGAAGAGAAGACGAATGAACCCTCTGGTGTTTGCTGGAAAACTTCCCATTTCTATCGTTGATTTCCCAGATATAAACCTCTAAATTTTCGAACCAAATTTCACCAAGGAGAACATGGGAGAACCAGGTTGTTTGCGCCTGATGAGTAGCTGAATTGCTGTTTCTTCATGACCATTGAATAGTATTGAATGGATGTACTGTATCCAAGGATATCCAAAACAGCAAAACAGCTCTGTTTCATTCATCCTATTTGTATCTATTTGTTCAGTACTAGATTAGATGCTCTGACTGCAACAATCCAAAACGGCTTGGGATGGTTTGGGCAGCAGCTGGTAGGTTGTCTCATCCCAGGAGCTGAAGGTGTACCGGATGTTTGAGCACACCACCGTGTGCTACCCAGCAAATTTGCCTTCCGGTGGTCCTAATATGTTCAGGGTCGAGCTGTTAGTCTGGTGAGATGGGGAATTTCCCATTTTGGGGTGCATGTGTTTTATGTTGACCACTAAGTGCCACTAAGTGCAGCTGAGCCGGCTGAACATCTGATAAATCTCGTCTCGCATTCGGCATCCTTGAACCCTTGAACTCAGTTTGGCCATAAACAAACTGACCCCAAGGGTTTGATGGTTACTGAAGATTCGACAGCCATGTGTGGATGCAAAATGCCGAATCTCCAACATTATTCAACTAATTATGGCATACCCTTGCTGGATCGGAGGGCTGATACCTTCCTCCATCTCAGGAGGTGAGAACTTTGTTTTTCAGATTTATGCAGGTGGTCGGGTACCCAGTGGTGCTGCTAGGTCCGCCTTGGAGGGTTGAGGTGAGGTAAAGCTTGTGGCAATGTTAGCTGGAATCTACCTTCTGGTGTCATCAAACATGGCTGGAAAATCCTCTACAAATACGGTTTGAATGGCAAAATCAGAAGATTTTCTGAGTGAGTTTCCCTTGCCATGTTTGAAAAAACCGGGTATCAAACCAATGATTACTGTGAATCCCACGTTGTGCACTCTTCGTTTGGGATCGATCCTGTCCAAAGCACCGCCGCCCCAGTCTGCATTGCTCGCGGCGGCATGCTGGATGCTGCCCAACAGCTACTATCCCAGCGTGCGGAGTCTTCATGTCACTTAGCTGTTGGCGATGAACGTGTTTGTGTTCTTTCCCAGGGGGGCATGCAGTAATTTGTTGGTGATTTTCAGGTTTCGAGATGTTTCAAGCATGTTTTTGGAAAGGGGAACAATGATGTTAAGAGGTTTCAAAAGCAAAAGTGAGACCCAATCAGCAAAATAGCAAACTTTGATTTTCTGCGAGATTTTCTGTGTTCAATTTTTCTGGGAGTTCATCACCAGAAATTCCCGAAACTTTGAACTTTCGATGGCCACAAATTTGGATAATTTGGGCCCTGCTCAGTGGCAAACCATCCAATTTTGTTGGTACACAATGTAGTATTCGGTTTTGATCTGGGTAAATTAAAACGACCTCACTGTTCTCCCTCACTGGAAATCATGGTTAATAAGGGGAATCATCCCCAAATGGCCGAACAATTCAGGTTAGTGAAATATTATAATTTACCCAGTTTTGATCCATACAGAACTTGAAGCAGGAGGGGAACTTGCTGGAGCAACGACGGTAACCCCATGTAAATAGCAAAAAAAATCAAAGGACAGGCCGGAGATGGCCGAAGATTTCTGGCTGATTTCTCGGGTAGCCCCCAGCCGCGCACAACTGTTCCAGTGATATTGATTCTACTAGCCATCCTACTTGGCTTTTGCCTGAAAATCGTTTACCCCTATAATTATAAATCTCATTGTTCATCATGATTTTCCCATATTTTCACTCTGAAATTGCCGGAATTTGGGGGGTGAAATTTCCCATTTCCAGACACAGCCAACTGCTTGGTGTCACGTCTTATTGTGATATCCCCATGAAATATCCCCATGATATTCCCACATCCTCATGATCATATTATATCACCAATAATCCCCAAAATATCCTAATTGAACCACTATATATATATATATTTATAGTTGGTTGAATTCCCTATAGTTTGAAGCAAAAATTCTGCCAATTTCACCACCATTTTCCCAGGGCCCTGTGCTCAGTTGGACCTGGTTTTCAGGCTGAGACGACCATGAACCGGCTGCTGGCACCCGGCCTGGTGTGAGCCTAGGGAGTTCAGAGATGTTCAGAGATGTTCAGAGATGTTTAGAGAGTCTGTCGCATATGCATCGAAGATGGCTGTAAGATAATTAAGGGTGAGTTCCTTGAGATGTGAAGATTAGATGAGATTAAATGCATCAAAACATTACTACTGTAAGTCACATGCCCGGAACATGTGGAACTCATTGCCTCTGGGAGTGGAATGTTTCCCAGGGTCATCCCCATTCGCAGAAAACCGTCCATTTGAGTTCTTCAAATCACCACCTATTTCTCATTAAATCACATGTTTACAATGTGGGGCCCCCGTTCGATAGCTAAGTTGGTGAACATAACTCCAATAACTATGGTTTATGGTACTTATAACTATAGTTAATGGGGTCTATAAACCAGCTTATAACTGGGGGGGCCCACATGTTTACTCAATTTTGTTTAATTTGTGCTGGTGAAATCCCGACTTTGTTGTTATTAATGAACTCTTGTTCTATCACATGTGTTGCAGATCAAAAGCTCGTTTTGTTCCCAATTGTGTGGGTAAAATCATCCCATTTTCCGCTATTACAGTATGTCTTACAAATGACAAGATATATTGATATATAATAAAATTTCCTTGCAAACAAGGGTTGAACTATTTCCAAGGGTCAAGAGATCATGGGTATTCATGGGTTATGGGTAGAAATTTCATTTTTGAACATCTTTTGACAAAAAATATTTTGAAAAAAAAATATTTATTTTTTTTATTCCAATACCTTGAGAATGAACCACTGAATGCTTTAAACCTGATTTTGGACATAATTTATGGGTCGAAATTTCATTGTTGAACATCTTTTGACAAAAAAAATGCCAAAAAAAATATTTTAAATTTTTATTCCAATACCTTGAGAATGAACCACTGAATGTTTTAAACCTGATTTTGGACATAATTTATGGGTAGAAATTTCATTTTTGAACATCTTCTGACAAAAAATATTTTGAAAAAAAAAAAATCTAAATTTTTATTCCAATACCTTGAAAATGACCCACTGAATGTTTTAAAACTGATTGTGGACATAATTTGTTGATAGAAATCTATTTTTAAAAAAATATTAAAAATATAAAAGTGACATTTCTCATTTTGCATCATTTTCCCCGTTGTGGTTCTCCCGTTGTGTCTCCCTGTTGTAACACCCCAGGGCTCAGCCATGGCTCCCCAGCTCCGTGCCCTCCCCGTTTTGGATCCCCGTTGAGGTTTCCAGCTCTGAGCGCTGAACCCACAACGGGAAAAACACTTTTTTTTTCCCATTTCCAAGCTTCAAAGGCATGTCGCCTTGCTGCTATGCACACTCTCTAATTAGAAAAATTCGGCACAGGGTGCCTGAAAATTGTTTCGGCTTGTCAGATCATCTGGGTTGATAGTCGCGGCGTTGGGCGATCAGTTGAGGACTGACTTGAGGGCGGGCCGAGTAGTTCCAGCGATGCCATGGGACCAGATCCATGAAGGTCAGTCTCTAAGGGGATGGATCAGGGAGGCAGCCGAAGCGGGCTCCGAAATTAGGGAAAAACACAACGGGAGACAACAACGGGAAGAACAAAAAATGCAAAGACAATGGGTGAAACAGTACATGTTACAATGGCTGAACTCAACTCAAAATGAGAAACTTTTAAGAAGAAAATTTTCATAAATAGGCATATCTTATTATTTTGGGCCGAGAGCTCGGGGTCTCCCCCTTGTGTCTTCCCGTTGTTTAAAGCATTCAGTGGTTCATAAATATCTCCATCTATTTCTTAGACTTGTTCATCATTTTTTTGAGTGTTTCATGGCCACCCTCTGGTCAACTAACATAACTGTGGAAAATCACCATGCTATTCATGGCTCCTACTTTGTCCAAAGACTTTTTGCGATGGATCCTACTTTGTCCAACATTAGTTTGCGATGGATCCTACTTTGTCCAAACACTTTTTGCGATGGATCCTACTTTGTCCAAACACTTTTTGCGATGGATACTACTTTGTCCAACATTAGTTTGCGATGGCTCCTACTTTGTCCAAAGACTTTTTGCGATGGGTCCTACTTTGTCCAAACACTTTTTGCGATGGATCCTACTTTGTCCAAACACTTTTTGCGATGGGACCTACCCAAATCCATCTCAAAATGCTTCAAGTGAGACTGATAGGAAACCAAGGACTTGTCTCAAACAATTTGGGGGATTTTATGCCATCTGTCTCAAATGGATATGGTAGAGATGCTTTTTTGAAATTCAATTTTGAGATGGATTTGGGTGAGACTTATCTCAAAAGCATTGCTTTGGACTGGCAAGCCTTTTCAGACACATGTCCACTACCAATACCCCTAGTACTGGCAGGCTGTGTTTGAGATGGGGCCTACCCAAATCCATCTCAAAACCAAACTGTTGCCTAACACTCAAAACCCTAGAGTTTTGAGACAAATCATGTTAAACCTTGCTAGCACATACCATGGCCATAGTTAGATTTGGCATCATTTTGAGATGGATTTGGGTAGGTCCCATCGCAAACTAATGTTGGACAAAGTAGGAGCCATCGCAAACTAATGTTGGACAAAGCAGGACCCATCGCAAAAAGTCTTTGGACAAAGTAGGAGCCATCGCAAACTAATGTTGGACAAAGTAGGATCCATCGCAAAAAGTGTTTGGACAAAGTAGGATCCATCGCAAAAAGTCTTTGGACAAAGTAGGAGCCATGAATAGCATGGTGATTTTCCACAGTTATGTTAGTTGACCAGAGGTGGCCATGAAACACTCAAAAAAATGATGAATAAGTCTAAGAAATAGATGGAGATATTTATGAACCACTGAATGCTTTAAACAACGGGAAGACACAAGGGGGAGACCCCGAGCTCTCGGCCCAAAATAATAAGATATGCCTATTTATGAAAATTTTCTTCTTAAAAGTTTCTCATTTTGAGTTGAGTTCAGCCATTGTAACATGTACTGTTTCACCCATTGTCTTTGCATTTTTTGTTCTTCCCGTTGTTGTCTCCCGTTGTGTTTTTCCCTAATTTCGGAGCCCGCTTCGGCTGCCTCCCTGATCCATCCCCTTAGAGACTGACCTTCATGGATCTGGTCCCATGGCATCGCTGGAACTACTCGGCCCGCCCTCAAGTCAGTCCTCAACTGATCGCCCAACGCCGCGACTATCAACCCAGATGATCTGACAAGCCGAAACAATTTTCAGGCACCCTGTGCCGAATTTTTCTAATTAGAGAGTGTGCATAGCAGCAAGGCGACATGCCTTTGAAGCTTGGAAATGGGAAAAAAAAAATGTTTTTCCCGTTGTGGGTTCAGCGCTCAGAGCTGGAAACCTCAACGGGGATCCAAAATGGGGAGGGCACGGAGCTGGGGAGCCATGGCTGAGCCCTGGGGTGTTACAACAGGGAGACACAACGGGAGAACCACAACGGGGAAAATGATGCAAAATGAGAAATGTCACTTTTATATTTTTAATATTTTTTTAAAAATAGATTTCTATCAACAAATTATGTCCACAATCAGTTTTAAAACATTCAGTGGGTCATTTTCAAGGTATTGGAATATAAATTTAGATTTTTTTTTTCAAAATATTTTTTGTCAGAAGATGTTCAAAAATGAAATTTCTACCCATAAATTATGTCCAAAATCAGGTTTAAAACATTCAGTGGTTCATTTTCAAGGTATTGGAATAAAAATTTAAAATATTTTTTTTGGCATTTTTTTGTCAAAAGATGTTCAACAATGAAATTTCGACCCATAACCCATGAATACCCATGATCTCTTGACCCTTGGAAATAGTTCAACCCTTGTTTGCAAGGAAATTTTATTATATCATCAATTTTCAGCTATTGTTTCATATTAATCACCATCTATAAACATATATATATATATATTATGTATATTATGTATATTATGTATATTATGTATATTATGTATCCACACATATTATATAATCACCATATAAATCACAATAAATATATCACCAGATATATCAGCCTCCTTTCCGCGAGGTGTTCACCTTGGGTAGCTCCACGCTGATTATGCCAGGGTAGGGCTGGGAAAATCATGGGAAACTAACCCGGATTTTCCATGTTGGATCACCGGAGGGTACAGCAAAACTATCAATAGATATTATTAATATAGAATATGATAGAATATCAACATATAACGATAATAATATCTATTGATTATGGATAAGTAGATAGAACATCATCCTGATTTTTTTTGTTGCAAAAAAATATTCCCATGTTGAAGTGGAGATAAAACTTAAGATATACATGTTGACTATCTACTCCAGGATGACTATAACTGTTTATTTGTATACAGCAATCACTGCGTGTATTTTATCCAGTTAATATCATTGGTACTTTTTTTGGGTATATATTATATTATAGTTTATAATTAAGTGTGTTCAGAACTATACAGCTGTTCGATCTGTGTCTCAATGTGTTCATTATCTACAAGTACTAGTAACCCCTACATGTTTATCCAAGTTTGCAACCCACATCCTCCACATCCGTGAGGTTGTTGTATCTTTTTAGTTCTTTTTTATTGGAATTCATTTCAAATAAAATCAAACTTACCCTCTGGTAATTTAACATAGCTATTGAACATGGCCCACTGAAATAGTTGATTGACCTATTCAAGATGGTGATCTTCCAGTTCGCTATGTTAGTTTACCGGAGGGTAAACACCTCCAATTTGCAACCGATACACTTCCGCCATGGCTGAAGAGTTCCACCCGGCCAGAAACACAACCGGCGGAGGCGATCACGCTTCAACCCGGCCAACTGGACTTGCGGAGCTCTCTATTTTGCAGTGCCTCGATTCGCCTCGATGCCTTGATTTCTATGATTTCTATGATTTCTTGGCTATGTCCGGCAGATGGATGTTTTGTTGAACTTTGTTTTCTTGATATTCTGATATATTCTGATATCAAAAACATACCAAATCTATGCCAACATTGCACTTGAACCATCAATCTTCCTTGATTTACATTGATTTACCCCATGTGTAAAACCAAAAATAAGATCATAAACATCTTGAAACTCCTCGTACTTGTACCATGTTTCTTCATCGTTTCTTCATCGTTTCTTCATCATTGGAATAGCTGTGGTGGACCTGGCCCGGCCCTGCTGGCCCAGGCCTGCTTCACCTCTTTGCTGGTTGGCCTGGAACTAGCCTGGACCTTGGTGTGGCGTTTTTTTTTTTTTACGCTTTTTGTTGGTAGATCCCCTACTTTTCTCCCCTGTTTTTCTTCAGTGAACGTAGAAAAAACATAGAAAATAGGTGGAACTATGTGGAAATGATCTACTTAAAATTGTGCATTCTTACTGGAACGTGAAACCGTATATGAAATAGAACAGTACCCAAAAGATTAGAAATGTCAACTCCGACACTCAGATTTGCGTGTACATGTGATTTGTTTTTGTTATGCATACCTACATACGTACATACCTACCTACCTACCTACCTACCTACGTACGTACGTACGTACGTACGTACATACATACATACATACATACATACATACATGCATGCACATATATATATAATATATAATTATTATTATTATATATATATATGATTATTACTCTATATATATAATATTATATATATAATTATTATATATATAATTATATATATATATTATTATATATATATTATTATATATAATTATTATTATATATATATATATAATTATTATGTATATAATTATTATGTATATAATTATTATGTATATAATTATTAAGCATATAATAATTATGTATATAATCATTATGTTTATAATTATTATGTTTACAATTACTATGTATATAATTACTATGTATATAATTATATATATATAAATCTTATATATAGCTATTTTACATATATAGAACTATGATACATATACATATATGTACAGTATATGTATGTATGTATAAATGAATCATAGTCTGATATTATATGTGTATATATTCTATATATATATGATATTTCGGAGGGCTGCTTGCACCTTCACCATGCGATTGCAATTTTTGGAGTCCAAGGCAAGACGTCCGGTTGTTTCGAGCACTTGGCCGAGTGGCCTCGAGATCGGCACCTTGGAAGCCTTGGAAGCCGACTGGCGGTTGAGAAAAATCATGGGCTATCCATACAATGTGGGGCCCCCAAGATAGCTAAGTTGGTTTATAACTCCAATAACTATGGTTTATGGTATTTATAACTATAGTTACTGGGGCGAATCTAAACCAACTTATAACTGGGGGGCCTCACATTGTACAGTATGTGGTTATGATTGGTTAAAAATAGCCATGAAAGAATCTATATAATATATACCCTCCAGTAAATCAGCATAGACCCTGCCCTTTTTCGGGGTTGGAAGAGAAGTTTCCACTCAAAATTGGGGATTTTCAGGGTCGAACTGTGAATTTACCAGAGGGCTAAGTACAAAGCCACAAGATGGTCATATTGGTTTTATAAATGCTTATAAGGGGAGATTCATCATTTTTCTATGGGGTTTGGTTTGTGAATGTTTATGATGTTGATGGCCCAAGTATCGCCTGCCACTGGGATGATAAACCTAGTAGTGTATCATCGAAAACAGGGGGTTGACTGCCATCAGGAGAGATGAGAGATGACTGTTTGATAGCCAAAGCCACAAAATCATACAACAAGTGAATCAAAACAAGTAAAATTGAGGCGTCTAAACCAGCTGACCTCTCTGTAGATGAAGATGGCTTATTTCCAGAGACAGGAGGGTTTTCTACGACTCTAGATGGCTGACCAGTCGCCCTGCAAATGCTTGTGAATATACATGGGAAACAAATGAATGCATATAGAATATAGAATTGCCTAAATGAGTTCTAATGCATTGCGCATTGATGTCGTTAGAGCTCAAAGCCTCTCACGGATGTCATTCATCTGTTTGAAGTGCCGAGTTTCAGCACCAGAAGAATCCCCATGGAAGCCACGGTTGACAGGTACTGTACTGATCTTTGTCGTGGAGGCGCATTGGGTCAGTTTGAAGTTTATCTGCCGAGTTTCAGGCATCAATCTGAAAGGGGGTTGGCTTTGGAGCTTTGGAAGAGGTTTGAATATTTCTTGGAGATCATATATCCGTTGCTCCATTCATATCCCTAGTTTTTCGTGATATTTTACAAATTCGGACATCTACCGGAAGCAGCTCATCGTTTTTTAGCTCAGGAGCTGTTGATCCACCTTGATGCGGAAGGCTGGAAGTTCCTCTTTTGGCGCAGGACGGACCTCACCCCGGGTTCCCCTTTTTGAGTCGAACAGATGCGCTGTTGCTTCATTTACATATATATGACCATCATATTCCCATTGTTGTTGGTTTATAGCCTATTAACCACTATTAACCATCACTATTAACCATAACCATCACTATTAACCACCATTATTAATAGTTGGAGTCCTTTTCACGCAGATATGTATGTCCGGAAACTTGGCGACCCAAATTCAGTGATTTATCAGCATGTTCACCAGTAATTTTTGGGGCAATCCATTTTCTGACCCAGATATTCTGATGCTGAGAAGACCCTGTGCAGGAACACTTTGGCTGCTGCTTTGGTGATCCTGCACCGAACTTAGATGGAACCTTTGGTCGAGAGATGTGTACAACTTGAGAGAGACAGAGAGAGAGAGAGAGAGAGTTGCAAAGTAACAGCAGATGTTGTTTAAGTGGCTGCTGCTTTCCAATTACTATTTTTCAATGTGTGTCATGTTCAACTATAATTGGAATATTGTTGGAATATATAATGTCACCTTTATCTTCGTATTTGTTCCGAGAGGTTTAACCATCAACCAACAAAAAAAGACAGCTTTCTGATCTTGAAGGCCTCCAGACATGTCACCTCAATTCATTCTTATAGTCTAAAAAATCAATGTCCATAGTCTATTTCCATTGTTTTCCCTTTTCTTCAATGGGGTTTTCTGGGAAGATGTACATTTCCATGGGTAAAACCAATCCATCGATTTCCTACAAAAGACATAACAATGAAATCATCATCTAAAAAAATCCAGTAAGAATCCCATAAAATCCCATTAACCAAAAAAAACATAAAAAGTCAGAATCTAAGATTTCGGGCCCCTTTTTTCAATCGATGAATGGAACCGGCCCAGGTCCTGGCACTGGCGCGGGGCCACCTTGGTGCCTTGGGAAGAACGGAACAACGATGGGACTTAAAACATGGGAAAATACGGAGAATCAGGAAATATATCCCATGGAAAATCATGGGAACATCATCCAAAAAAAAAGGAAGAAAAAAAAACATAGGAACATCCCATGGAAACTATATATGGGATGAATTTCCCATGATTTTCCCATGGAACAATCATTGGAAATTGACTATATATGGGAAACTTAGCCGCTACGGAAATCCATGGAAATCCTCCCAAAAATATGGAGGTGTTTTTTGGGAAGGAACATCGTCGTTAAGTAAATGAAAGATTTCCCAGGTTTGACTACAGGATTATACTGAAATACTAGACTATACTCATTGTCCATTGCCAGATTACTGGAGAACAGCCACGATAGCTAGTAATATCATCTAATATCTAATATCCAACTGAAAAATGATCAAAAACATGTGAGTTGATTATAGTTACTGTTAATGGCCGTATGTGACACGGCAAAGCATGGGTGGATTTTCCATACTGGTGGATGGTAATCAAACGGTTGATAGGGAATTAAACACACATTTTAAGGAATCCCATTCTGGGATGGATGACCATAAACCATATACAGTACAATGTTTTGACCCTAGCACATAGCACATAGCGGGTGATACAAATTGGCTGACTCTGGAGTCGTATGCTCCATGATTGAAATCCCATTCTCAACAAATCAGAAGTTTGAGGGACGACGTGAGGTTTACCATACATCCGGGTTGCTGAAAATTGGGGGTCCATCCCATTTTTTTGCACAATTTTGCACACCCAGATATCATATGAAGTTGGTTTTGAAAAAGTACCAGTGTATGTTGACCATTGATAAATGATCTTTACTATACCCCGTATCCCATTATTTACCATATATACAGTACCCATGATATTTACCCATGGCTATTACCCATGGTTTACCCATATATTTCCCCATGGCTTGAAGGCTGGGCACTGAAAAATTCCGATGTTCTGAGGACATGGTGGATCGTTCTCCTGAGCCGGATGCTTAGCTCCCGAAACGCCGGAACCAGCGCGCTCGGTGATTTTGTTTTTGTTTTTTTTCTGGATCCAACCCAAAAACTGGTTGGTGGTTTCAAACATGAATTTTATTTTCCAGAAAATATATGGGATGTAATCCTTCCCATTCACGAACTCATATTTTTCAAGATGGTTAAAACATGTTAAAACCACCAACCAAAAAAGACATGTAAGAGCAAGTGGCAGTTGTATTATGGTTGCTTTATGTTGCGCCAAAGCAATCGTGGATCTGTCAAAAAGTAGATTCCAGGTTTTTTTGTTGGGTGTGTTCCCAAAGATTGGATATTTCAAATCTGCCACTTTTGGGGTCGAAGAGTTTGTTCAACTGACCAGGTTCGATGCAACTGCAATTTTGTGCCAACCCTTTTTGAATTTGAACACTAAACATAAAACCCCCGTTCATTGATGATTCTATTGGATTATACGGACTAATAAATATAGATCATATTATATGACAATAGACTATACTAATTCATATAATCACAATCCACTAGGGAAATCTCCCTCTCCAAAAGGGAGGACATCGCAGAGTCCTCATGCCAAGGCATGCGCTCGGCGGAGCGCTCATTGGCATCAGCGTGCTTGCGGCTCAGGTTGCAGCTGGTCAAATGGAAGCAGCAAACGCCATGTTGGACAACGGTTGTCGTGATTTCAGCAACAAACATGGGGACTGTACCCTCTGGTAATTTAAGATAGCTATTGAAAATTGCCATTTATAGTGGGTTTACCCATTGAAAATGGTGATTTTCCATAGTTATGTTAGTTTACCAGAGGGTATTACATGTATGATTTAAGCACCATTTTTTGGTGGTATAAAGGGGATACAAAGGTATATCAAAGCAGGATACTTATATTCTTTGCAACAGAAAGAGAGCTGCTTTGTTGCTCAAAGGCCCATGCTGTGCAGATTGGGGTCCTCTAACCAGGAGGCCGCTGGGAATTTTTTTTTTTCAGGAACCAGCAATTTGGATGGTAAAAACCACCTGCATTTCTGCATGTCCGAAACGCAAATCAATCCATGTCCGTGGCTGCTTCCAGACCTTTGTCACTGCATTTTGCAGGCAGTGATGGATCAAGCTTTCCAGGGACTGGCATTGACCAGTTTTTTCTGTCCGTGGGCCCGGCATTTGAAGTATGATCGTTAGTTACAATGAAGTCTACATTCTCCACCGAGGAGCGGGAAATGGTTCAAAATCATGAAGCCCAAAACTGGATTGTTAATACAGCATTACTGGGTAAATTTGATCACGACCTCACGTCGCGACCTAAGCCTGGAATCATGGTTAATAAATGTTAATAAGGGGAATCATCCCAAAATGGCCGAACTATTCAGGTTAGTGAAATATTATAATTCACCTAGAGCATTGAAAATAACCTGAGGGTCCATGGGCACCCCATGTTTAAAAATGTTTCAGCCATAACCAGTTCACGATGAGCCATGACGACTTTTGTGAGTGGTGTGCAGAAGTTGCAGACGCAACCTCTAATAGTTTCCCAGTCCCTCAAAAGCGTTAGACGTTAGACTCTAGGGTGGTGTTTCTACCTGTGCCCTAGACAGTTCTCTCCAGTGCCTCCTATAATTTTGATTTCAGCAACAGTTTATTTCAGAATTCATTAGCCACCAACGTCAACGATCTGTGCTTTCTTGGTCCGCCTTTGTTCGAGCTGTCCCAGTCAAGGTCCCTGTTGCCTCATGTCCAAGACACATTGATCTTGACAGATTTAGATAGACTTCAGACTTCAGCAGACTTCAGACGTCAGCAGATGAGGCGTTCCATGTTTGCTCTATTTGTTGATGCCAGAGACCGACGGCATACGAACGTTGGCCGGCACCTCAAACAAGAAGCAGGTTGACTGATCATTGTTTGTAAGAACAACCCATGTTAAAGGAACCCGAGTT